AATAGATAATTATGCTAATTATATTACCCATAATACATCACCTTGTCGATTGCAGAACGAATCGTGCCATCTTTTACCATTTGTGGAATATCGTCGCAAACTTTCTCCCATGGCTCGAAATACTCAGGTAATCTCTCCTAATGAAGTCAAAAGACATCATGCAAAACTTAGGAGGAGCTGGAATCATTTGAAGGTTAGTCAAGAAAAGTGTGTTTGCCATTTGAAGATTGAAAGTAGCCGCGGTTTCGCGCCGTTTGTGCAGGAATGCCGCGCTTACAAGTTTGTTTGAACTGATGTTTGAATACGTTAGCTAGACACATTGGTTCAGTAATGGTTTACCACTAAATAGCAAATAAAAGCTTTATATGCTTTGAGCTCACCAGGCGTTTCTCCGGAATGAATCCCATAGTTGGAGAAATGTCATAATCTTCTAACCGAATCCCCGCCATTTTTCAAAGCCTCGAGCTTCCCCTTTCCCACTGCTTCCAGAATATATACTTATTTCATTATAGATGGCGAGAAATCGTGATTCCTATGCATCATTAATACAAACATTAAGCGACGATTTCCAAGGGCATCTGTCATGTGTTTTTTTGTTTGTTTGTCCCGGTGTGATTCCTTTTTGGGTTTCCTGTGGTAACTCACACAGGAATCCCATTCACTCGTTTACAATCGAGCGCATTTCTTCTTCTACCCCCTCCATCTTGTCGCGAACCCCCTCTTAACCACACCACTTAGTAAAAGACGAAAGAAATTGTATATTATTATTTTATTGAAATGATGTATACAGTAAACATTTCATTTGAATATGACAATTTTTTTATTTATTTTTTATAAACATTTTTTTAAATTTTTATTTTCTTTTGTAAACTTTTTTAATTCTTGAATTTTTTTGTTTTATTTTGTGGATCATTTATTTAACTTTTTTTTGTATTTTTGAATATTTTTTTCCATATCTAAATTCTAAAGGGAATGCATCCCCGCTGACCATAGTGGATTACTGGCTCATCTTGAAGGACAAATACGTCATCATGACGTCATCTCCTTTTCCTGGGACTAGACTCCATCGGCCTTTTATCCACTGCAACGAAAAGCAAYATTAATTAATATGTCATAAAATTTACAAGTCGTATTGTAATGTCCACTAACCTTTGATCAGCATGCCTTTCGTGTTGAATTCGCTGTAACTTATATTTTCGATTTGCCTTTATCATCACTCCATACACAAAGCCAAGTCAGGTCCAGATACAAAGCCACGTTTTGCAGGAAAAGTCATCCCGCAACCGGAACCAAGAGGGTACGTCCACTAACTCATTGGAAATGGTTGTAGCCCTTCTTTCCCGTCTTGTACATCTCTCTTGGAGTGATAGTTGCCCTTGGCTTGTACATGTCTCTTGGTGTGATACCATTGGAGCCTGGAATCTTTGGACTTGGGCACCTTGGTGCAATGGATGGTAGTGGTTCTGCTCTTTGATACTTTGGCTTATACAAGTCCTTTGGAGTGATAACATTATCATTGGAAGGCAGTAACATCGGACTGGCACATCTTGGTGCATGAATGGAGGGTAGCTCGCGATCCCTGTGAAGGGCTGGCACCTCACTAGCTGTTTTCCTGTGTTTCTTGGACCTTTTCTTGGTCTTGGCGCCATCAGCAATCTTTTCAATGCTATTTTGCTGCAGAGGAGCAAGCTCTTTTCTTCCAGGAAAGATGTCGTCACGGCCATGCATCTCGGCTACCATTTTGCTCTTCAAACTTTTATCAGATGTAGCATTTCCAGAGACAAGAGGCGCCAACTCTTGTTCTTTGTCCTTTGGTTTTGAACGGCTGCGTCTCTTTGACATCATCTCGGAATCTTCTGGTTCCTCTAATGGCGACAGTCTCCCCACCCAATTCTTTAAATCCTTTCTCAAATTTACCATGTCTTTTTTGAATGGGTTCTTCATATCGGAAGACATCTTGTTTAATTGTTGAAATTCATATCCAAACGGCTTGGCTTCGTTCAGTTCAAAGACCTTCTTGGATAGTGTGCTCCCACCAAAGGCGCAAAGTYTGGTCTTGCTGGCTATATTGTGCTCTAYCGCAGCAATTGGCGGAAGCTTGAGGTCTTCGTAGGTTGATTTGGGGCTTATCGTTTCCTCTTTAAGGAGTTGCTCAAGATCGATAGGAGTGGCTTTCATTCCTAGTTTCATGGCATCTTCGAGAAAGACGACTGTTTCATTGACAAAACCTTTACCATCCAGGTTGTCCTTCTGGTCGTAATGCTCCAAATCGATTGGTTGTGCCGTTTTTGTTTTCAGGTAAAACGGTTTTAGCTGAAACTTTGCTTGAATGTCTAGATCTGGTATTCTGACTCTGAGTATCTGGAAACCAAAAACACAGTCGAGTTAGAATGGTAAAACAGCAGAAGTTTGACGCAAGAACATCACTCAAGTAATTCTTCACCTTGTGACGAAATGTTAAACGCCTGACAGGGTTTYTAATCTTCCTTAATGGAAGAAGTCCATATCCACCTCTGTATGCACTCCTTTCATCTTCGGTTGCTCCCTTTGTTGGTGTTGGGCTGCGTCTGTTGACCTCGTGGGCTCTTCGACTTAAACTGCCGCTTACGGTTGTTAAAACAGAACGAAACTTGTTTTTTATGTTAAACATCTTAGATTTGAACTAGAAATGTTCTTCACGAAATGAAGCTTGTTTCATTCTAATTGGTTAGTGTATTGTTACATCACAGTAATTGACACTTTATAAAAAGAAGGAAGTGCGCGCGCATGTGCTTGGTGGTGATTCCGCTGTGCATGTRGACTAATTTCTATTTRGTACGAAGTGCAACGTTCAATTTACAATTTTTAGAAAAGTAGTTTGCGAAGCTTTGAATCAGAGATCGATAAGAAAGTTTGTCCAACGCAAGACTATAAGGAACTTATAAACTTGTTTCCGAGAATCTTTGCGATTGTGTTTTTCAGGTTGAAAACTGGTTTTTGACTGGTTTAAAATTAAAGATGGCGAAAAGTTTAGTCTTTAAGTCATTTACATCTTTAAGTTGTAACTCTTGTCAACAACGTTTTTTTAAAAAAGCAATGATCACTACGTACCACATACATGCAGGATTTGAAACGTGATGCGGATCAGCGTCAGTTGGTGGGACAATATACGTGAAAAGCTCCACCCAAATCTCAAATAAGGATTCGAGCAGCGACATGAAAGGGAGCTTTCAGACTTGTTAAGTTAGAGTATATCAGGGCTCATGAGTGAGACAAATCGTTCTTATGGTTAATCCCGCTAAAAACAAAATTGACGTCACGTCAACTGTTTTTGTTCCTGTTTCAGAAAAAGTTGGGATTTCTTGAAATCACTTTTTTGAGAATTCATAGTGTTTTCTTTCTTTCTCGCATTACTCGATGAAGCTCCCAGAAAGATAGGAATACCCCAATTGAAATTTATCGTGGTTTGGTGCATCAGTAATACGTCGCATGAACCGCACGTAATGCTTGCGTATAGCAAGCTTTCTTTCTCGTATAACGAAGCTCTTAGATTGGCTTACGTGAAATCTAAGCTATTTTAGTTCGATACAGCAGTATTACGTTGTAGTAAGTTGAACCGCGCGTAGTGCTTGCGTGTAGAAGCAGCTTTTCTTTCTCAAAGCGAATTTTTCACGGGCTTACRTGAAATGTAAACTATCTTGCATGGTTTGGTGCAGCAGTAGTAAGTCGCTTGTGCGAACCGCACGTAATGCTTGCGTACAGCTAACGCTAAAACACGTATCTAATTATTAGCTTTTCAAATTTTCATCATTATCACTTTTATCATCATTATCATTAATCATCATCATCATTTGATAGCGATCTTCATTTTTTACCATCATGTTATTAAGATTGGAATGAGTCGATTCCAAGGATTCAATATTTTTTACCAATTGCTTAATCTGTACTTTAAATGTTGCTTTAGAATGCGTTTTCATTGAGGCACGATTTGTTTTTCATCTATCCAAAATATTATGCTCTTTGGGGAGGTCGATGCAGCATGCAAGGACCAAAATCTCAATTTTAAAAAGCAAGTCGATTTATTGATTTCAGGATAAAAATAAAATTGAATTAGCTGAGCACACAAACTCTATTTAGACTTCAAGGCATTCGTACTTCCGCAGAGTCCACCTTGAAGCTGTCACCAAAAACGAAAAAAACAAAAACAAAAACTGAATAGAGAGACGTGAAAGCTTAGAAAGAGGACAGTACGTTTGGTATATGAAGTGCACATTATCCAAAAAGATTATTTTGTCTATTTTTCTAAACCTTCAAAATCMATATCGCTGTCTTTTACTTCAGTTGTTAGATTGTTTCTGTGTTTTTTTTTTAAGAAAAAGTTGTAACAGAAGTCATATTGAAATAGTCGAATTATCGTTGATTAAATGAAGGATTTTAAAAGTCATCTCAGAAAACCGATTAAAATGTAAAACAACAGTTTAATTTTATTCAAAATGAACCAAAAAAGTTGTATAAACATGCAGTCGAATAATCGTTGCTTTTTATAATGCCAAGAAATACTGAAATAAAAGATTTGAATTTAGATTACAGAAAGTCGAATCAAAAAAACAAAAACAACAGTATTTGTTTTTTGCGATACCATGGTAACCCCCGCGGTGATCAAACGATAGTAAATTATGTTATGACGTTGATATAGTACAACTAACAAGAAGGCTTTATCTACTTTCCTTAATTAGTGTCATTAAGTAACTGCTCTCCAAACCAAATAAAACTCGGAGTAAAATTTCTTTGACGTTGTTTGATTGTTTTAACTATCGACATTGTATTTTCTAAATGGCTGTTTATTGTGCYTAGGACTCCTGTTGATAACAGATGCACACACACCTGAACGAGCCATCGTGAACCTTTATCGTAAATATAGATTTTTTTCATTCATTTATACTGGTTATGCAACATCTAAATGGATGGATGAATAAATGAATTGAATAATGAATTAGAAAAATTGAAAAAGTTAATATTTACACAGGTTGAAAATACATGTTTACATTAGTGATAAATTTCGAATCCGTCGAAGTAAAATTCGAAGAATAAATGGATGGAAGGATGAAAGGATGAAATATACCGAGATAATGGGATTGTATTCTTTGACTGCGGATGACATTAATGTATTCCACGCAATGATTCCGTTATATCCATAAGAACGCTGTTTGTTTCAAGAGGGAAAAGTTATTTATGTGTCAATCGGATCAAGAAAAACAATATTTTCTCAGTGTAAAACTCCGGGCCGGGTTGTCCAAAGCGCTAATTCTGGGTTAAATCTTTAAAAACTATGGAGTTAACCCTGGATTAACGCTTATCAGGCTTTGAACAACGATTGAAAGGGTTTTGAGAGGAACATTTTCTTGTTCTGTTGGAATTTTAATATTTTCAACCAGCTTACGAATCTATAAGCATGTTTAAACGGACRGATTTCATTACGTTTCCGTAAGCCACTTTTGTGTATTCAAGCTCATTTATTACTGCACTTTTTCCGCGCGCGTAAAAATGTGAATACTATAACTTCATTGGGCGGTTTTTGTTCTCGTCAAAAAACTCCGCATTTAACCGGAAAGATCCGAATATTGAACGGAAAACACATGAAAGCCTAATAATATTTGTGAATTCGTTCGGTTTTGAGGTCAGTTCGGCGAAGTTTGTATTTTTGATTGACAGAAACCAAAACGTCAAAATGGCGGTTCAACCGTTCAAGTTCGCATATTGGCGAAAATATAAATCACCTGACACTAAAATTAAAATAAAAAACATATACCAAAAACACACTCTATACAATGGCTTATGTGCCGCTCTTAATGGCTAATACAATCAACAATCATGTCTCTTCCTCGATCCTTACTTACTTAGAGAATTGAAGAACACTTTTATATAGATTCGCAAATTGAAGCTAAGGATTTTTACWCGAAAGTGCCTTTTCGAGTTCGTATTGTTCTTAAAATTTGTTCGAAGACTGCTGGCACAATATGTTTTTATTCGAWAAACGTTGCGTTAACACGTACAAGCTTTGTAAAGCGTAACACAAAGCTGCAATCTGTTRTCAATTGAGCATTTTAATATTCATTCACACTTTAAACGGCTACTTTCCTCCGTAAGCTCTTAAAGCGTTTTAAAAACGGAGAGAGAACGACTAAAAACATATTTTGTAGATTTGAAAGTTTTCCTCAGAAGTGTTTACACTTGTTCGTTCTAACAAGAAAACCGGTAATGATGAAGTCATTGTCCTCATAAATTCACAGAAAAAAAGTAAATTAATACCAATTCTAGTTAAAAAAGGCAAAAATTGGAAGCGAAGGGCTATTTTCGAGAAATTCTCAATATTATTTGCTCATGTCAATTCGTATTGACACGATGAAGCGTTTTTCAATAAACCACAGTCTCTGCCAATTGACCAAGTCGCCAGGTTTCCTTTACAATTTCAATTGACAAATGATTCACAAAACGGTAATTCGTCTTTTTAAAACACTGWAATTCATTTGCTCACGTGTTCTCCAGTCAGTCATATTTCTCCTGGTGAGATTAGTAGTCTTATATATTTTTAGCGAGAGTAAACATTTTTTAGCTGTGTTTGCTGGCCGTGAAATGGTCTTATTGTTTGTGTAAATACAAAAAATCGTAATTTACAGTCTTGAAGCATTTAAGTTGAATTCAGTGAATTCAATGCAACTTTTCGCGCTTTGTGCGAAATGAAGCGGTAGTGCGTCATGCATTAACCAACAATAGCGGTGATCAATCAGCAAAAGATCGCTCGRGGACGGCCATGAAGAGCTTAGCTTCGCTTAATAGCCAAACAGAATTCACAGGTATCAGTTTTACTACGATTTGCTTAAAGAAAAAAATTGGTACTCAGTCTGATGCATGTATTACTCCCATTAAAACAGTTATCAACCAGAAAAAGAACTGAATGGCTTCAATCAGGACGTACAGGAAGAGATTTTCTACGTTTAAGAGTCTAACAGCATCAACAGGAGTCTATTGTTGCTTAATTTTTAAGAAAACCTTGATTACATAACTTCRTTACTCTATATTTGAAACATTTGTCAAACAGAAACAGAACTSTGTTTTTAGGACGTCCACGAAAATCTTGGKCCAAAAGCATTCACAGGTAACTSTTTTTATATATATTTCTATATTCCGACAGGAAAACATAAGTATAAGTAAGACTGATGATCTCCCACATTAAGAATTATATGTTTATTTAATCTTTCAAGTTTCGCRGTTTAAAGCGCTGACATTTATTYAAAACCATGCRAAATAAAGAAAGCCAACGTGGATGAAATCTTTTACATTGATCTATATATTTAGTACAGAAATTTGCCCGGAGCGATGTACGATAAAAGTGACTGCCATCTTAACATGAATTATCTCTATTTCAGAATTTCCGCCTGTCAACTAGTTTACCTCGATCACTGCTCATTTCCTAGCCACTTCAATCAGTAAACTTTTGCGATTTAAGCACAGAGGGAAAGCTAAGCTTTGTCAAAAACCAATCAGTTCTTTTTGAACAAATATAGTCATGCTTTGGTTTAAAAGTCTGCAGTATTCTAGTTCGAATAAATCAGACATTGAAGGAAGAGCTCCATTAACATCCTCGACAGCTGTTGCCTTTCAAGTTTTATTCGTGGTGATTTCAGTGCTTAATGTCGTGGGAAATTCCCTCGTTTTATTCACTATAATGCGTACTCGTTCTTTGCAATCTTCAATCCACTGGTTACTGGTTAATATAACATTTTCTGATATTATTTTAGCTGGATTTCTACTTCCAAGGTACGTGTTTTTGCAATATTTAAGCTACCCAGAGGGCGTACGCTCCGACATTGTTTGTAAATTATTATCCTCCCTGACGGTGTCGTGGGTAGGAATTTACGCACAAGTCTTTACGTTRATCGTTATTGCAATCGAACGTTACGTAGTCATCGTCCATCGCCATCGCGCAAGATGGACCAAAACGACACTTAGGATCGTAATTGCTTCAAGTTGGATCTACGCTATCGGATTCAATATTCCAGACTTGATTTTCATTCGCTATGGCGAAGAARGGGGTGGCTGTATATACGCTTGGTCGCAATCCGCTCATGGAATRTGGGCGTTGGTACGCCTGTTTGCTTGTGGTCCGCTTCCTTTAGTGACAATGGTTTTCCTCTACGTGCGTGTCGCATACGATCTTTGGATCAAGAACMACAATATTGTTATGGACACGGCACGCTTAGTAATTTTGGCGTCACGCAAGCGTTTTACGAGGATAGTGATCACAATCTCTATTATATATGGACTGTGTTTGATTCCCAATATGACAATATGGCTGGTTGATAACTTCATCGATGCCATACCTAATTTTTATGTATTATTAGCCATCTCACACTTGATTCTTCTTTTAAATGCTACTGTCAAACCATTGGTTTACTGCATTCAAAGYGAACAGTTCAGAAAATGCATGCTTGCAATGCTTTGGAAGCAAAACTCTGTTACCGCTATTGAAGCTCAAGATTTCCGTACTGAATACGGAAGCGAATATCCAAGATCCGAGAGATCRCTTGGCTCAAACGTTTACCAAACRCGACAGGCAAGCGGCATCRYACAAGAGTCACACTATGAACTCGAGAACTGCACGAAGCGGAGTCTGCAAATGCGACATAMCAACCGATCGGTGTCTACCGTGTTTTCCGAAGAATCAAACAATGATTCCAATTACAAAGTAAACAACAGATATTCCAGAGCTAGCAAAGGATCTCTGTTTAAGGACAMGTTTTACTATAAATCAAAAACATCTTTTGCAAATAATTCCAATAAYATCATAAACTTTGATTCAAGTGACAGTGAAAGTGACGATGACCTGAAAGAGCTTAATAAGATTMGATATGGTGGAATATGGCTAGGATCAAAGGAAAACCCTGGAAATGCATGGCCAGAGGTTCAGTTTGTGTCACCATCGACGTCGGAGMRACATTCGGTGGAATTGCACAACCCACCAGCAAGCTCCATAAATCAGGCTGCAACATCAGYCAGTGAGCATTGTGAAGAGGGTRTTCCAGRTAGATTACTGGAAAAACCGACGGTGATCTCCATTAGTGAAGCTAAGGAAGTTCAKRAAACAAGCGAAGATCGCCAAATGAAGCCTTTGGAAAGTGGAACAACGTCCAACAAAGATAGCGAACCAACAAATAAATCAAATAAAGACAACGAAGAAGAAATGAAGGAATTATGGCCAAAAACAGATTCATCTGGCGAAGGCGAGGCCAAGCATGCCAACACTGTACTGAAGATGGAAGTGATGTCAGCTTCTCATACAAAAGAGATTGCTGTGGAAACAACAGACATTGGCGTCCAGCAAAATATTTCTGAAAAGAGGAATAAAAACGGCATAAACCCTGCACAGGCAGAGTCAACAGTAATGGAGGACAACTCGCAAAATACCGGACAATATTTTCCACAAGAAACGATACTTAATAAAACGTCTCTAAATGACATCCATGATGAAAGTAAAAAAGATGTTTCAGGATTGAAAAGCAAAGTCCAAAACAGCTCTGAGAATATAGACGATACAACTCGGACGATACCTATCTCTTTGGATGAAGAGGAAAATGCTGATACAAATAAGGATCTTAGTGCGAGTATCAAGTCCAAAGCCGRTRCAAACATAGCAAACGGTGATTTAYCCTCAATAACYACATCTCAAGCTCACTATAAGTCTGAAAGGGAATCACATTTCGAAGAGACGCTAAGCACTATATCAGAGAAAGAGATGGAGATGACAAAAAGAAACGTAGAAGACCAGAAACAACATTTGGATCAACAGAGGGACACTGGCATGAACGCGGGTGCATCCTTGGAAGACCCCCGTGAAAACTCTCCATCATTTCCAAGACAAGATCATGATGAACTACAGAATCAGTTCGGAGGGRTATGGTTAGGACCCGCSAACCCTGGATTGAGCTCGGAGAATGAAGAAGCTCTAATCGACATAAACTTCACTTCAAGTGGAAGTCAGAAAATTCAGGATGATTATGGTGGAATTTGGATGGGAAATATTCAAAGTGAAGATATAAATGCCTCGCTGGAAGCTAAGATTGCACTCGAGGATAATAAAGAAGGAATGGGAGACGGACAATATTTTGAAGCAAGACGAAATAGCGCTCTCAATAAAAGAGCGATGCAAACTGCCGAAGATGAAAAAAATCAAAGAGAGTTTACAAAGAAGGAGCATACAATTGAAACAGGCTTATCACAAGATGAAAACATTAATGATCGTGTTGGATTAAACAACGACATGCCAGTACAACAGAATAATACGAGTTCAAATAGTTCAGAAGAGCAAAAGCGTGAAGAACGTGAATCAGACAACAAAATGAACAGTGTAAATCAACTCAAAGAAGCCGAAAGTACATCTTCCTTCAATCCTGTTTCATACAGTGGAAGCTCTGCACCAAAGAAACCCACAAAAAAGACTACGAAAGCTGGTCAAACGAAAACTCCAGCTTTAAATAAAATCAAAGGGATAAAACTTCATTTAAAAACAGCGCCGAACTCTATAWATCCATCAGAAAATCTTACTGATGTCCCAAGGAAAGAGGCTAAATATAGCAAAGGAAAACAGGTTTGGCTACGTGAAAAAGATAAACTTAAARTGATGAACAGACTCAAATATTTAGACATCAACTCGTGAGAAAATGATGAATTCAGCTCGCTGCCTGCACAATTAAAGTATCCTTATGAAAGGGTTATGGTCCACCATCATCCCTTGCGAGCTTTTGTTTGCATCGAATTATAAACAAAAACTAACTCTTTATTGTCTCTTTATGCTATATAATGGAGATTTTTCATTATTCGACCGTAAACCCTAGAATGGAAAAGCTTTGCGAATTTGTATTTGAAGTCACAGAATTTCCCATATATGAAAAATTCAAAAGACGACTGCATTGAATGCTGGGAGGTCGTAGTCCTTTGATAGGAGCAATATAGTGCAGGAAACAAGTTCCATCTCCACAGTAAGAAGTACGGGAAACACGGATTTTCCGGTGTCTGAGGCAATTTCATTTAATCTAGACGTCAATACTCCTTCCAGTAGTAGTAGATTGATGCTGTTAAAACAGTGATAAAGTGTTAGTTCCCTGACCTCCTCAGAAATTGCGTACCCGGGATTTCAACTGATTGACGCATTAGTATTAAATATTGCAAAGTATTGCACCCTTTTTTTTGTTGGTTCTCTACAATTTTGACTTTATTTCATTGTAAATAATTTAATGTACTACTTTACAGGATTATAAAAACAGGTTTATTAAACAAACAACAAAAAAATTGCAATTCAGTGAAATGCGTACTGTTTCTAGAAAGTTCGTTTTCTAATACTGAGTAAGTTTTTTGTAATTCTATTTATATACATTATTTAGTCTTTGCAAAAATTCTGATAGGGTGCATCATGGGTAATATCACGTGATTTTCTTTTTTTTTCTCACTGAAAGACCTCAAACAGATCGCTAATCATTCAAATAATTTGAAAATCTGTATATTTAAGATTATTCAAGCATAATCTGTAGTTTTATGACAAATKAAGGGTTCAAATTCGATCTATCAGCAATACCTCATAGTGTTGATATTTTTTTAATAAGTTAGCAGCCAGAATTTCTTCGGTCTGTCACTTGACGATATATTTCATGGCATCTTTTATATTTTAAATATAAAGCTTGTCCCCGAAAGGCATTTCTGTCAAAAATGTACTCGGTCATTATCTCATGCCATAAATTAATTTACAATACCTAATTTGTCATACCTAGTAAAGTACAAGTTCTCTCAATTAAATTCAGTTATTTTTGTATTCTCTGACGTCATCATTGCGTGATTCCTGATTGTAAAGTACTATCAAAAATTCAACCGCTTCCAAATATTTATTATTATAACTAATGCAATGGGAATTCATACTAAATCAAGTGTACACATCAAATAGATTTGAAATTACATTAACGTTGAATGATTTTTCGGAGTATAAAAAGACCCGAAGATTTTAATTAAACTTAGAAATCTTGTAGCACTGTGTGATATAATCACTTTAATTGTCCTATATTCGTTTTAATGGCCGCGTTAGTATGTTTATCGCAATTAGTTTTGATTGCGCTCTTTAACTGGTTTGCGCAACTCTAGATCAMACGACAAGATATGTCATATGACACCGGAGATGAATTCTAAAATCTCGGGAGTAATATTTTATCAAAAAATATTGTTTCATTCATCTTTCCATCAATTCATTCTTCCATCCATTTATATTTTATTTCATTCAAGGACAGATAAATATTCTAAAATTTATTATTATTAATATTATTGGAGTATTGTTTCATTCATCTTTCCATTCATCCATGTTCATCCATTTATATTTTATTCCATCCAATAATAAATATTATTATCATGTTATTATTATTAATATAATTTGAGTAGCTCATCCATCTCAGACTGAGTGTCTGGATTTTCATTTAAACTTTCAATGATTATTCATAAAACATTACCGAGAACCCATTCACTACGAAAACAGGTGGTGATGTTTGGCAAGTACGATATATTTATCGAGTCGTTTAATCGTTTCTATCAACACGCATCGTTTTTCTCTAAACGACTACAAAGTCTTGATTCCTAAGTCTATTAAGTTATCTTAGTTTAATCKTACTTCTGATTTAACTAATGTAAACGGAGCGCTAAAAAGAATGCTTCTCTCTCTCAGAACCGGATTTTTTGTTGTTGTGATGAACAAACCTAGAAACAACACAAAAGAAAAAAAACTATTAGTCACTAAAATCGTACATGGAAACTTGTGAACGCCCCCACAAACTACATTAGCTTTTTAAACCCACCATCTTCTGTACATAAAGCAAAGAAGGCAGGAAAATCCGGTTTGAATAAGCAAAGTATCGTCTTTAATTTACYAAGGAAATAAAGCAGTTAGCACTGGTCATGTAATAAGGATGAGCTAATGTTGCCCAATGGTAGCTKATCATCAATCTGACAATGTCAGTTCCARAACAAGCRCGCATAGCATCATGGGTACATATGTAAAACGCTTGGGCTTTCGCGTGTTTGTTCAAAATGAATAMATTATTTCAACGGTGTGATTAGTWTARMTCACTGACCTGTGAAACGCTGGACTAGTTTCAGGGTTTTATATACTCAAACTTTAAGGCTGTTGTCCGAATGAGCTGACATCAGAAAATGGTTGATGTATTCCACCGAGCCGCTCGCGATGGTTATATAGATATTCTGAAGTCGGCCACGAAGMGAGACACAAATCGAAAAGACGAAGATGGCATGACTCCGGTTCACTACGCGGCAAGTTGTGGCAACGTCGAAGCTCTTCGGTTGTTGGTAGGGAAAGGGTGAGTTTTCTTTTCTCTAAACAYTCTAATCGAATTTACCTAATGGAACATTAACTTTAACTTCCGCGAAGAAAGTATTCCCAGATTATAAACTTAATGTGACACCATACAAAATAATCCTGTGTTTCCCTCGCAGCTAATTCTAGTCAAAGTAGGTCTGTTTTTGATGCTATTAGTGTAAGCTATTGCCACCTCTCTAAATGAACCACAATTTTGGATTAAAAAGACTGAGTGCTAATTTAGTAAACGCTCTCCTTTATCAAGCGGTAAATATTCTAAGAACTCATTGTTTTTTCATGTGTATATRCATAAAAATGGAAAAGATATACCCAATTTTACATAAACCACGTTTGTCTTATAGAAAATACAAAATATTGCGGTTTTGATACGTTTTATCTTCATAGAATTAAACGKTTTCGGTCATTTCTTTTTCCATAATAATAGATTCGATATTGTAGGATTGTCCGCATATTAGAATGATGGATTATTCATGTGACGAATCTCTCATATGTTAAACTTGGATTTCGTGTTTTAATGAGAATGATTTGCGAACGTTTAGATTTCGTAACAGTTTGTAAGTAACTTGTAAGGGGCTTATGAAAATTTCAAAGTACTTTAAAGCATTTCTAAAGCGGTTATCTAGAATATTCGCTCCCGAAAATATTTGTCGGCGCGTTCGATTAATACTTTGAGCCATGTAAATAACTTGTCTGTATGGAGTATTTCTCTTTTGAATCATAGGTAMATGTCAATGTATTGATAAATAGAGAATAAGTCTAAACAATACAACATTAGTTTTACTGAATTAAAGSAAGCTCTTACGCAAAAGAGAAAATTTCTTCACGCTACCCTGCACCGTAACTACATCGTTACAAAATGATGAAAATTTACATTAGATACCTAAAGAAAACTAAGCCTAGAAGTCTAGAGCTCTGCAAACTTTMTCATTTCCAAATCCGTGTGCAGCACAAAATAAAGACGTCAGTTCTCAATTTAAACGAAGTCCAAAAAAAAAACTGCTAATTGTGTTTTGGAGAAACCTGTCCAACTTATTGAAACTTTGTCTTTCCTCCTGTCGAGCCGAAACTGCATGTGGTTCGAGTCATTTCTTTGAACATGTTTGAATATTCGACCGCTGTTAATTATTTAACGGTTGCTGTGGAATAATGGATATTTTCTTGCAAATGTTGAAAAAATCTTTGAAATTTAAAAAATCTTTTTACGTCAATTTTTGATAAACGTCATTCGCTTCAATGAGTCAACAAAGTACAAGAATAATAAATATTGAAATGTTTATGTTTATCCTAGAAAGGGTTTGTTTGGATTAAGAGGAGAATTGAACACATTTTTTGCTAATTATTTCAAGTTATTTAAAGTTTTTCGTGAACTTTTTTTAAAGCTTTTTAGAGGTTAAATATTTAGAAAACATTGCTCGTTTTTCATAAATCCACGGAGCAATATTTTCTTGGGGGAACATTTTCATGAAAAATACAAATTCATATTGTTAACTCGTGAATTTAAGTTTAAATATCAAATCTAAAACATCTGAATGAATATTATGAATGAACTCTATCAGACTAACCTCCTAAGAAAGCGCAATTTCATTGGTTTAGAGGTTCGTATTAATAAGTATAACCTGAAAAGTCTAAACGAGATTTAACCTGAACTTAACTTTGATAATAACAACCATTTTCTAACCATTATTTGTTTGTCTGAGGAAGCTTCCAGTTTGCCCTGAGGGAATCGAAAGATAAGATGAAATGACCTGTGACGAGGTCTTGATAATTAACACTTCCGAACTAGCGCATATTGGTCACTCATTTGAAGCACTCTTATGTATATACCAAATATCTGCAGCGATTCTAAGTCGAGTACCTTCCACGCATTACTGAGGTCACGTCCAGATTGATGCGCATTATTTCTTATTTCATTCACCGACAACAATACAAAACGCAACGAAAACGCGTCAGGGTTCGCGTCACTGTATATGAAAGTTTCGATTCGTCCTCGACGGAAAATTGGCGCCACGCAAGGGAAAATATCAATACGAAAACGGGACAATGAGCAGACGGATATACATGTCTATAAACTGATTTATAACCGACTTTTGAATCTTTTTAATAACTTAACTGGTGTCAAATCTGATTTTCAACAGATTATTCTTCCATGATATCACTTACTCTCATCTATCTGTCTTTTATAATGCTGTTCTGCGCATTGCATTGATTTTATCATATTGCATTCCATTTGATGCTATTTCATCGTCTATCATCCCATGGCAACCTATTTCATACCATCCTCTTCTATTCTATCCCATCCCATCCTATTCTATCATATCTCATCCCATCTTATTCAATTCCGTCGAGTACTCTTCCATTCCGTCCTATTCTATTACATTCTATTCTATTACATCTCATCCCATCTTATTCAATTCCGTCGAATACTCTTCCATTCCGTCCTATTCTATTACATTCTATTCTATTACATCCCATCATCATCTTATTCAATTTCGTCCAATGCTCTTCCATTCCGTCTCATTCTATTCCATTCTATTCACGGACGCTTTCTTTTCCAGAGGCGATCCTGATAAACCAAACTACGATGGAGCCACAGCCGTCCATTTAGCTGCCAACTGTGGTCAACTGAACTGCTTGTCGTTTCTCACAAACTTTGGCTGCAATATCTGGGCGTTAAACAACGATGGGCGAACCCCCCTGGAAGATGCTGCCTACCACGGCCGAATGGACTGCGTCCGACATCTTGATGGCCTAATCGCCATCCAAATGATGAGAAACAAAAAAGAAGTTGAAAAACAAAAGCTCCACGCAAAAAGAGAAGCCATTAAACGAGTCAAAAAGCAAAGCAAGCGTCAACAAGAGCGAGAGAAAGCTTATGAAAGACGGGTGCGCGATGAACTCAAGGACCAATAYGACAGCTTAGGCAGAAAYGACAAGATTAAAGATTCCAATAGCAATAGCTGGAGTAAGAGAAGCATAAGGTCCACGAACCCTGACCAACCTTTCTCGGAGCTTGCTAGCGGAAGGGGATTCTCTAAAAGTACCGARAACATCGAACCTGTAGACCATAAATATTCAGACACATTCAGCCAACGCTCGAAATTATTCCAAGCTCTTAAAGGTAAAATCAACAGTACTTTAAGAGGACGCAGGAAGTCAAAAGAAAACGATGATGATTTCTTTACCAAACGCTCTTCACTTAGCCAGCCCGACTTATATAGCGATTCGATGACGTCACGGACATTTAACAGCAAGTATAGAACTCCCTCGATGAGATCTGGGAGCATAACTTCCCATAGCTCTGATGAAAACGAAGAGAACGATTTACAATTTGGACACATTATTAAAACGTACGACAATAGCGGTAATGTTTCGACTCAGATCCATTACGATCATTCGAGCTCTAGCAGGTCAAATGGAACCGTTAAAAGTAGTAGGAAAAGAGCGGGAAGTGGAAGCTCAGTCAGAAGCGGACGAAGTAATGGTGATGGTGTCAGCTTGCGATCTGCTGGATATGACGATACCGATGTTTTCAATGAAATGGCCGAGTCAGATGAGGTTAAAGCGGTAATAACATTCCTCTCGAGCTTGAACTTAGAACAGTTTGCGGCGCCATTGATCAAGGAGAGCATTGATCTCCCAGCACTGGTTTTGTGTAGTGACAAAGATCTTCAAGAGCTGGGCTTACCTCTGGGACCACGTCGTAAAATCCTTGAAGGCGCCAGAAAGCATCAGATGACAATTTCAAGCCCGTCGCAAATGACTGACACAAAAATTTAATTCCTAGAATGTCTTAATATTTTAATTGCCAATTTTCTAAAGCTGTCCAAGGGCGGATTCAGAGGGTATTAGGTTAGCTAGCCTCTCCCTCTTCCAGAAAATCGCATATGAATGAGACTGATTCTTAAAAACAACTAAAGCTGTGTTCATCTAAAAAAAATCTCATTTTGCGCGCGCAGCCCTAAATCTATCCTTTTAATATTGCATAAGCCACTCCCTTAAAATGTCCTGGATCCGACACCGATGTCGTCGATTTTAATTGGTTATAAACCATGCGAAAAGAAAATTCAATATTGTGAAAATGTCATTATGGTATCTGTGATATATATTTTTGCAACTTCTAGGCACCACTTACAATATTAGAAWTGAACCATCCACAGTTACGAAAGAGAACAGTTATTTTAAATCTAAGTAGAAACTCATTTCTTCATAAATTGTACAATTATTTTTTATCATAATACCAAAWGTAGTATAGTATAAATGGCTTCGTTAGTCAATATGGCAAATATTTTGCAAAATGTACATGCAACAGTCTCTCCCTTCTCTCTGATTCACTATCTCGGAAATTAAAAAGCAAATATTGTGTAATAACCATGTTGCAACTGTCTTTTTTGAGACTAAATGAAGTCTTCAGGCCTGTTAACATAACATTGAGATTTGTGCTACCAACAATGTCAYAGTTTAAGTTTTGTTTGGGATAACAACCACCCAAGGCTGGCTAAGAAATGGGTGCATATCCCTTCCCAGTCCRATACCTTGCATCCTTCAATACTTTCCCTCGTTTTGTGTCTCATTTGTCATCATTTTTTTGGAGTGTGTTTAAGTGTCGTGCACCCCTCCCTGGAGAAAATCCAGTAATTACCCATGTGATTCTACATGTAAAAAGAGACAGAGAACAGATCCAGAGAAAGGTTGAGATCCATGTGGAAGAATGGGTGTATGGGGTATACACATTCCACCTTCAGGTGAATAAATATATAGTCAATTGACAAAAGGTTGTTGTCGACTGAATTTTGTAGCATGTGACCCACAAACCCAAACAGGTTTGTGGGTAAAATCAATGAACTGGCAAATTAGCCATAACAACACTTTCTAGTATAGTGTTGATTTGTTTCGGGTTTTGTTCTCTTTTTTAATAACTCTAAGACAAACATTGAATGTTTTWTTCCCTGCCATGATGGAAARCAGATGCAAAAATCAAGCTCACATGCATGCATAATTAAATTCACGTGATCTGCAATTTTTTGTCACTCRTGTGTCAGTTCTTCCAATCACAAAGRCGATAAAATTAATTAAAAATTCCTCTTTAAGGAACATTTTTCTTTGAAAATTATGTCTCTAAATATTAAACCATATATTCTATTTTTCTGCGAGGTTTGTATAAAAATATTTTTATAGTCTTTGTACTGACTGGATTACTTTTTGGAAGATTTTTTTTTCATGAATGAAATAACTGTCTCCCTAATACAATGTTTMTAAATGTTATTTTTCATACTCGATTTTCTTTTGGGCTAAAATGAATGCTCTTTACAGTGCATGTCACATAATAAGATTTAGTTATCAACCAACTACGAATTCTGTGAGGCATGGTGGCGATGGTGTGCATACCCCGATGAATTCTTAGTTAGTTGATAACTAAATCTCATTAGCTGTTCATTGTTAAAAATTGCTTTGAGCTTTTGTTGTGTGCACTCTTATAGTTCCTTTCTGTAATTACTGAATTTTGATCTGAATTGTCCCTCAAAGTCATCTTTGTTTCCATAACCTCCTAACATTCTTCTTACTCCTGTAAAAGAATTACGACCATGTAAAACCCTCCAGTTTGCCATCACCATGCACACTCCTGGTTGAAGCTTAAACCAAAACTCGTTCCCTGSATCTCTTATAATCTTTGCMAATGCCTGATATGCATGGTAGAATCTAGGAACATCTTCAGCTGGAAGGCAGTCAAGAACATCCCTATCATACATGTTGAAGCGAACTTGTTTGASATCTCCCCAGTAGGGATCCAATTCAATTRCTGGACCATTGCTCTTAATGCAGAGGGAGTTGTCTTCATATATAGAAGGAATCCTCTGAGATGAAAGAAACTTGAATGCCTCATAATCTTTTTTCTTCAAGATCTCTGCAGCATTAAAACCATCGACAAGTAAACTTTCTCCTCCACTACCATTGTGATTGATACATTGTAGTAACTGTAGCCCTGCMGGGTCGGCAAAGTAGGTGTTGTCAGAATGTGCTTCTAGCCGTGAAGCTGAATATGCAGTATCAGCATAATCATACGCTTCATTTGAAAAATCCCAGATCTTGCCATAGAAKGTCTCGCGGACAAAACCAGCAAGTCTGTTGATCAGACTTTCCATRCCTGTCACATCAGTTGGAGTSTCATGCACAAATGCAAAGCCAAACTTTTCAATTGCATGTGATACTTTRAATAAGTTCTTGTCGTCATCTAGAATTGATTGATGGGTAATCTTTGGCAATTCYACAGACGYTATAGTCTTGTTATTCCACAGGAACGGTTCCACCCAATTGCCCTTTGTTACTGGAGACTTATTTTTATATGTATGGTCTTCCAACCACTGGGAAGGGAATGTGGTCTTGTGACCATCAGGCCATGTCAGTTGGAGTTCCTCCCCGTTTGAAGCAGCTTCTACCGGTTTGATATCTAGYGGCATATACAACATGTCATATTCTCTCTGGTTAGTCGAATAGTTGAAGCATTTCTCGCATTTGCAGTGATCTCGCAACCAAACGTTGTGGTACTCCGTCTGTTCCCCATTTTGCCAGTGAACTGTAACCCGGTCGTCATTGCATAAAGTCGTGGAAGAGATTAGATTTTTGCGTGTTTGAATGGATTTGKAAGTGCATAGAGCTCTCAGACCTTGTACGCGTTTAAATGCATKGCAAGATGAAAGAGATAGCTTGCTGAAATTGTGGAATAGCCCTGGAATAATTACTGACCTTCCCAAAAGCATTTTGGACATGGGTCGGAGTGAGATTATTTTATTGATATCCCGTGATTCCATGCAGGAGACATATTACCCGGAATCCCTTTCAAGCACAAAAACATGGCGGTATAACGAAGGCTTGCGATTGCGTAGTTGAAAAGAAATCCCAGCGTTGAGCTATATTCACTTCTTTMAATTCATTTTCATATCCAAATGGATTCTAGAGATAAAGATTTAAGTGACGGTGGGTCGGAATCGTGGAATTACTCAGGCAACGAGCGACAATGCATCGAGGAGATAGAGGGTGAACCCGACTTTGATGTGCAGTTGGTTTCAGAGAAGGAGCAAGCGGTGCAAAGGCTTTGGCACGTCTTTCAAAGCGCAGCGATGGCTTGTGCTCAGCTCTACAAAGGTAACTTTCACTTTGATCTATTCATTTACAAATTTTGGGTCTTCGGTGTTGACTTATACGCCTGCTTATCACTCTTAAACAGGGTAAAGTGTTCTAAAAATAACTCGTTTTATTTCTACAGAGAGAAACCACGACGCGAACAATAGCCATTTGTGGACGCCTTTTCAAGGCACAGCTAACACTGTGGCTCAACTTTACAAAGGTGAATCAAGCGGGTTTCAACGTCTGCCATGTTTATAATGGGTTCTCTGTAACTTCATTTTAGTAACTAACGGCAATGGCGTAGTAAGCTTAAGCTTGTTTGGCACAAAGGGATCCGGAAAATGTAGCTTATCTCGTAAAATAAATACAATGCTCAATTTTCTATACTTAAACCATAGATTTCACTACTTAGATAAATAAAAAAAGACGGCAAACTAGCGATTGGAAAATAAGAATAAACATTAAATTTTCCTCGGAATTTTTGAAGACGTGTGCGATTTTAAAATTTGCATCTATAAGTTATATTTCCTTGGTAAGCTGAAATCGTACATGTAGCTGCTAGATTTCTCAATTTATCGAATATTTTCTACAAGCTTTGAACCAAAATCATAGCTTATTGAAGTTTTTATTGTACCATTTTATTTCATTTAGGAAAGATACGTTTTCCGGGCCTGAATTTCGGCATTCCTAAACGATTTATTGGTGTTTACATATTTTTGGCAAGGCTCCAAGAATGTAGTTTGAATAGTCTTTTGWGAAGATTTCTAACAATAGTTTTATATCTACAAAACGTCTGCTATCATTAAATTAGACAGTGGCATTAGGTATTTCAATTGAATTATATCTTATATATCCCAAATTCTTCATTTTATTGTTGTTTTTAGTTTTACAGTAATACAAGTAAGACCTTATAAGTAATTGATTATTTAAACCAAAATTTTTAGTGAATTTCACGTTTTTTAGTATTATTTTAGATGGTTTCTTGGTATATGGTTCAATTATAATTTTGCTAAATTCCTCATTTTAAACTTTCCCTGTAGTAATATTTTGTGCTTGTACCTATGACATGATAAACAGAGTTATTACAAGTCTAATTGCTTGAAATGTAACATTAATTATTATCTCACATTTCAAAGTCAATATTGAACTTTGGTATTTATATGTGATTCTGAACATGATTAATATGCCTCAGATTTTTTGCATCAAGGGATAGTCTCCTATGCAGACAGCATTGTTCAACATATCTAAAGTTATTGCTGCATGGGAGGCCACTAGWGGGSCTTCATGTATAAATGCTTAGTTGCAGCGTTTGTTTATAGATTTGGCAAAATTCATGTGAAAGATGTTAACTATTAGATATGTCTAAGTTGTTTTTACATTTCGTGAAGGCTTGGTCCCAAAAAATAGTTTTCACCAAAGTTTTTCCTTATTTATGAATCACAGTATAATTCYTGTTTTTCACAGAGAGCTTAGAACTTCACAAGAGAGGTATTGATGCAGGTCATCAAGCTGGAATACGACGACGAAACAAAGAAATTCTCTCCTGGGCTAAAAAGAAGAGAAAGCACATYAAAAGAGAGGATTTATTATGTTATTTGGCTGGTAGGTCATCTCCAAGAAGGATGGCAGACGTTAGGACCAGTAGCTCCAGTGTAGGATCCAATGGAGCCATTTTGTCTTCATCAATGGATTTTGATAGTCGAGATACTGGYGTTCAATGTTATGGACCWCTTGATGACTTCTCTGTAGATCAACAACTCAATTCTYCCCCCTACTTCTCTGGAACTGGCTTGGGGCAAATGTTTCATAACCCTACACGTAGAAGAAGCTATAATGAAAATTTAGGAGATCCAGAAAGCAGAGAAGGGAGAAAACGTACTTCATCTTCCATGGACATAGTTATGGATTCACCGTCACACAAACGTGGTCGCTACAACAATTACTAGTGGCCTGATGTTTRTGTATATTGACAGCAACAAATTGAAATTGTTATAAATGGCAAAAAATCTACCTGATATCCAAATATATTATTATCGCTATCTTCTGTTAATGTTTGTGAATAAARAAAGTTTTTTGTTGTTGCTTTTGTTAATTGTGTCATAATTTATAGAGGAAAGAAGTTACATATTACAAAATAGAGTGCAAACAATATATCCATCAAACATTAGGAATTCTATTTTGTGCTGTATAATGCTAATTCTTTCGTTGTTGTTGTTGTTGTTTTGTTTACCTTCTGTAATTTTGCACGATTTAGTAATTAGTATTTCACAACGGTAACATTGTTTGCAGTCTATCCAAGATGAAATGTGCTCCAATTGGATGACAACTGTACTGTTTAAGTGTAGTGAAACAGCATGCCACCCCTTAAAATGGCATGTWTTATAGAAGAAATTTGGAAGCTAATGGTCTGATATGAAAAAAGTATTGATTATAGAAGTAATTTTTTTTTGCATGGGCATTTCTATATCATTGAAAGACATTCAGAAGCAAATACAATATGGGTAGTATCTAGTTAGAAAGACTAGTCATTGCTCTGTTGCTGCTCCAGAGACAATTGCCTGCAAATCAGACTAGTCAGTTAACAAAAATTAATGTTGAATTTATGGAACCATTTTCTGTGGACTGCAGGTACAAGAAGGCATTTAACAAATTTTGAGGTGGAAAATGTAGTTCCAGCAAGAAAATTGATTCAAGAACAACATTGACCAAGTAACTGAGAATGTTATTGAYAAGTTTTTAGCTTTTATTCACATTCTTTGACAACATTCCTTGATTTTTAAAAGTGCACACAGTGCCACAAATGTGGACTCGAGCAGCTAACTGACATCTGTCAATCACCATATACAAGTATCAACCTGTAAACATGTTTGTTCATACTGAGCCAATTGAGTCTCTAGAAAATATCACTTCAGGTTCATTTCAAAGTGTCAGATTTCAAGTCTCGATCTCAAYGATCCCTCCAACAGCTTCCAGTGCCTTCTGGACATTGTCTGCTTCCTCCTTGTTTGTTTTTTCTCTAACTATCTGTGGTACACCTTCGACAAACTTCTTGGCCTGAAAAACAAAAAAAATTGCTAATTTAAATAATATCAAATTTCTGCATGATATGGAACTTCAAATCAACTAACTAGCAGGCCAAGTTGAATGACGGTTGGATAAAGTTTCCTACTTCATAGATTTTGCATAAACTTTATCGACAGGATAAGATTTTTTTTTCAATGGATAGACTATTCACCTTTTGTACAACCCGGCTTTGACAAGGACTTCCAATAGGTTAAATTAKGTTAAGTACAATGTGGTGTGCTTATACTTATACATTCTAGTTTTATTAATTTTACAAAGCTTTTTTTTCCTGTTGATGCACAGCAAGCAAGGAAAACTATGATGAAGAAGACAGACTTCAAGCAATTGCTGGATGCATGTTTCCAGAAATAGCACCTCAAGGTTGTCTCCTGACACCATAGGGGAAGGGAAACATGATGATGATGATGATGACAGCCCTTCAAAGCGCTGACCTCGATGGCTTTGACATTGTTAAAACAATGAAGCTACAAACACCATGATTTTGTRTTCCAGAAAATATCAATATTGTGTTAAAAATCTATCACTCGTTCGCGCAAGTGTAGCAGCCAAGAGAGCAGTCCTGGATAGTGATCAGGTTAGTTCACACAATCAAAACACAGAATGTTTGTTTGAGCGAGAGTGACTGAAGTGACATAATTTTGAAAGGTGCAAAAATGTCATGATTTGTTATTGCCATKGTAATGAGCATTTTCTTACCTGTACTAGATTCATTCCTGGGATGATTGCTTTGATCTCTCTTATCAACTTAACTTTAGCACTGTCATTAAATCCTGTTAACTTGACAGTGAATTCAGTGGGCTCAGGAGCTTTTTCTGTTTCTTCTGATTCTTCTTCCTGAAAGAATAATAGTTCATATGCTAAAAATAGTTAAAAAACTAAAATAATCTGTGTTCTACTAAAATGTTTTGACTGCATTAGAAAATGCCATGAATTGAAGTAGAATTGATAAAGAACTTGTTAAGGTAAGATWTCTCACCAATGCCACAAAAATGACTAAAAAAAATCAACATTCTGAGTGTTTTGGACTAATAACACATACACATGGTACAGWAGGTTGCCTATCTGCTTTGGTAAGACTTTTCAGGGGTCATTTTCAAATTTTTTGACAATTACATTTTGATACTATTTTGTTGCAAACTATTCTTTGCCGGACAGCCCWGCCTTATAAAGAAAAGTGGTCAACGTGACGTTGGTTTCAATAAACATCCGAACCTTTCTGTCATGTACAGCATACGCAATGCATTGTATGGTATGTTTGGGACAGAACATTGGTGATGTTTTTTTTTGTTTTCATTTTCTCTAAAAACTACATGTGACTCCACAATGCTTTGAAAATCAAGTAGTGATGTGAAACTGTTTCATAAAAATWCTCATGCCATTAGTAATACGGTGATTTGGTGTCTTACCAGACATGTACATTGCTTACCTTTGCTGGACCAGCAGTCATTCCACCCATTGCCATCATTGGTACATCTTCTATGTTTAATGTTTTCTTTAAGATAATGACACCATAAAGAATAAGAACTTATGAGCATTGAAACGGTTTGAGGGTGCAATGACATCCACCGAAGGTAGTTGGATCAAGTACAGGGGCCAGGAATTTTTTTAATTTTGAACCTCAGGAAAGTGATTTCCAGCATTTTGAGGGACTTCGAGAACATTTTATGCCTTGAATTTGTAAACAAGTATACTTGAAGCAGCCAAAAGGTAYTAAGCTTAGTATAGGGGTCTGAAAATCACACTTTATTGACTTTCCCTTCTTATAAAAGGATAATTACAGAGCTTACTTTTCGGAAAAAAAACGAAATGCAATCATCGTCATATGAAAGATGAAAACAATAAACTGATAAAGCAATCAATAACTTTTCTAATGTAGGATTTAAATTTCTGGGGAGGGGTATAGGGGAAATCTTCTCCACTTGAACAAGTTTACCTTTAAAAGTTGATTTAATTCCGAAACCTCGAGAATTGTCAGTTTYGATATGTCATCTACAATACGCTTAATATGTTCTGGATACTGTTTAGGYTCGCCATCCGGTTGGGGTGCAGCAAGGTCACTGAATTGTCTGCTGCGGACTGAACCATGTGACACAACCCGGCTTAATGTTGGACACTTTCTCAGTGAATAACACGTTGTACAGCTAAAATATAGACATGAAAATTAAACCATAAAAAAATAAAACTAAGAAGTACATTGCCTTAAAATTTTACCTTTGAATAGTTCGTCTAAGTTGTATTTCTTGGGTATTTCTTGCTAGAAATCTCAAAATCCTTGTGCTGGCCGCCATTTTGATTATAATGCATCATGGGAGATTACGTCTRGYTACCATGCTACTCTCGGTTCTTGTTGACCGTGTATYTTYATRAGGTACTGAGTCCACGTCAATCAGAACCACAAATGGACGATGAGAACAACAAAGTATCGAGTCAGTTTTCTCAACTTTGAACTCTTTTACCCATCATCTCTGCGAACCTAAGAATTACATATGTCAAGGGATGCCATATTTTCGAGAAGTGAAACTTAAAGATATGTCTTCTGAGGAAACATCGCTTCTGAAAAGTGACGAGGTAAACTTGTACTATGCGTGGCTCGGTTGGGGTAGAAAATATTATACCCACCAATTCCCTTCATTATTTTCTAACTGTGCTATTATTATGTAACAGCAAACACACTATTATGATGGGAGSGAAAGGCGAAAAAGTACAGTGTCTGAAATGTCGGAAACATCAGAATATATGCAGGTAAAATTACGCTGACTTTCAAGTAAATTTTCATTTCCGGTAAGCTTTCGGAAGAGCCTCCTGAGCCGTAGTAACTTAACTTACTTAAATTATATGCCACTATACTTTGTATTAAGATTGATATATTCTTCTTTACACTTTCCTAGAGTACGCTTAGTCATACGGCTGCAGGAAGAGAAAGTTTACAAAAGATTTTGGCAAAATACGAGGTAATGTTACGAAACTGAAGTTTGCTGAAAGTTGTGTTGCAGGGTACTGAAATACCGTAGAGAATCATGTGATGTACATCTGATTTTAATACGCAAGAGTATGACTATTTTATGATAAAATTCTCATTTATTATTGTMAGCTAATAATAAGCTAAACAATTCTGTATTATGTTCAGTCAATTAATGCATGATTAAAATATTCAATAATCATTAAAACAAACACTTGCCAAATTACGGTATGATAAGACTTACTGGATACAAAGAGAATAAATTGGTAAAAAATACATTTATTTTTCACCTTTGTTTTTGAAACAGAGCTTAGATTATGATATTCCAGAGAATGAACTGTATCTCAAAGAAAAGAAGTCTTACAGAGCAAAGGTAAGCATTTCTAGGATATTTAGCGTTATTTGTTATTTGTTGACAATGGCATTGTGCAGCAAAGCATGAGTTGTAGTCCTCACACTAATTACAGACCTTTAAACATCTCCTTAAAAGCATTTTTTACACTTTCTTTGTGGAAACAGAAAAACTTTTGTTTTGGCTTAGAAAGAGCAAAACCATTTCAGAAGGACTATTTTCACGGAGATGAAAAAGCATGAGGATAATTGCAACTACCATCATGCTTCGCTGCACAAAATGGTCTCCTTGCACATTACTTATTATTGCCATTGTATAACTAGCTGTGATGTTACACACACTAACAAATTAAAGTTGATCATTTATTATGAGTAATAAATAATTTCTTAATAACTATTTATTTTTTATCTTTCAGGATATAGTGAGCACAAATGTAAATCGATGGGTTGTCATGTTTGTGATAGGTGTTCTTACTGCATTAATTGCTTGTGCAATTGATATTTGCATATCGAAGATGTCATCATGGAAGTACTCTGTTGTCAGAGATTGTATCCATTTGATACTTGATAGTACATTCACATTAATGAGGTTTGAGAGCTCCAAACTGGTCGGACAATTCCCTGATCGCTTTTAGGATTTGGCTGGTTGAAGAATTGCCATGGTCTATGGATAGATCATAGAATCGATTTTGGGGCCTTCACAGTGTTTGCCCAGTTGCCTGAAGCAATGAAAGGGCTTTTGATGTCTTACAGGCTGGGCAGAGACTTGACAGTGGTTTCTTGGTAACCATTATGATAGTTAAACGTTTATCAAGAAAGATTTTCGAGTGAGAATGAATGTACTAGTAAGAATGTTGATGATTATAATGATCATAATTATTTATGCACGTCYATAAAGTTTACTCCAAAATACTTCACCTTAACTCTCAGACAACAGATGTCAATCGTTGTAAGAAGGAGAATTGTATGGTAGTACCCTATACATTATGGTTAGCTATCGATGTCTCATTTGTGTTTATTGCTGTTGTACTAGTCGCTTACATGGAGGTAAAAGGCTACTCTTGCTGATCTTTAATTGTCATTATCAAGCTCATTGATTGCAGGATCCGTGCAGGTCCTTAAATCCTTGAAAAGTGCTTGAATTGAAAACTCGTTTTCAAGGGCACTTGAAACTCCTTGAAAATTTGAAAATTTCGAAAAAGTCCTTGAAAACGCCTTGAAAAAGGTAGATCTCTATCACGAACCGCKAGCGATCTCTAAATTATTCCGTTCGGCTGTAGTTGTGAGGTAAGAATGTACAATTAGCATGATTATGATGTTCCTTGAAAATACAATTTTGGTCCTTGAAAAGTCCTTAAATTTCATTTTTGATACTCTGCACGGACCCTGTGATTGCTTTTCAAATTCATTTGTTGTTGGATGACTCATATCACTTGTCACTCACTCTCTCACTCACTCACTCACTCACTTTTAAGTGAGCATTTTTGTTATCACACTAATGCATTCTATCTGTTGATAGCCTGTTGCTGCTGGTAGCGGTATTCCACAAATAAAGTGTTTTCTAAATGGAGTTAAAGTCCCACATGTTGTCAGGTTTAAGGTTAGAAAGCTTGAATAAAGTACTGTTCTTGATTGCATGAAAATTCTAATCAACTTGACAATTATTTGCCCTTAATTAGAAGTGAATATGCTTTGTATTTTTTTTTTGCTTTGTAGTTTTTTTGTATGTTAGGAGCATTTGCAAGCAGATGTTAATTAATTATTATTATTAAAATTACTTATTATTGTAACATAAAAAGATATAGTAAGATTTACTGAATTTGGTTTGTTAAAAGACTSTTACCTAGTTAATACATTGTCCAAAATGTACATTTTTAAGGCATTATTTTACATTTCAGACATTGTTTGCTAAAGTRGTTGGAGTGGTATTTTCAGTGTCTGGTGGTCTRTCCTGTGGTAAAGAAGGCCCAATGATCCATGCTGGKGCTGTAATAGCTGCAGGAGTATCCCAAGGACGTTCAACCACTTTCAATAAAGACTTCAAAATATTTGAACGCTTTAGAACTGACCATGAGAAAAGAGACTTTGTCTCAGGTGGCGCTGCTGCTGGTGTTGCGGCAGCATTTGGTGCACCGATTGGTAAGTTGGAACTTCAGCATATGTATTGCATCTACAATCTTGGACATACACCTACTTGCAGAAACGTTGTCATAGAAAATAGAACATTTGAATTTAGTAAAAAAGGAATAAATTAAAACAAGACAAAAGAGAGCGTTCAGCCTCAGTGATCTTCTTTTGTCTTTTATAATTTATTCCTTTTTACTAAATACAAATGTCCTATTTTCTATGACGACATTTCCGCAAGTAGGTGTAAATACTTGACAATTTTTTGCTTGGGCATTGCAAATACTGTATTGCGTGCATCTACTAAAAATATTTACTCTACCCTCCCACATCAATGTTGCAAGCATGGGTATTAATGAATGAACATCCTCAGGAAACCAGGAATAATCTTCTGTTMTTTGTTCCTTACTCTCTTGAAAAAAATTACCCCTGGGCATGAAGTCTGTTAGACATTTTTCAAAATGGCAGCCAGTCAAGTGATTCACTCCAACATTCTGATTGGTTGATTAGTTTACTGGTAGCCATTTTGAATTTCGAACTGAGAACAAGATCTAACAGACTTCGTGCCCAGGGGTATTTTTCTGGGAGTGAGAAAAGAACGACAAAAGATTACCCCTGCGTTTCCGAGGATGATGATGGACAGCAAATGAAAACAAAGCCACACAACATTGTATTGGGGGTAAGAGGGAGGACAAAGAAGGCTTTATGTGATATTTAAAAAACGAGTAGAAGTGTTTTATCGTGAGATATAAACATGAGGCCGAAGGCCGAGTGTTTATATCCACGATAAAACACGAATTACGAGTTTTTTAAATGACTTCTAAAAATCAAACCTAAGAAACTACAATAAACATGAAATAAATGAAAAAATATCAAAAGTGAATAATTGATGAAGATATCTCCCTTTAATCTCATTCGTTACCATTTGCAATTATAAAATAGTCTAATATCTAATGACTTCTAAAAATCAAACCTAAGAAACTACAATAAACATGAAATAAATGAAAAAATATCAAAAGTGAATAATTGATGAAGATATCTMCATCTGAGCATGAGCAGTAATCAACTTGGTTTCCCACATCCAAGCGCCACTATGTTTTAGTGTACTGCGTACCAGGGGGAAAAACATCAGAGCATGGAAGAGATGTCTACAGCCATGTTCTGTAACTGACTGGTGTAGTGGGGGTGTCATTCCTTATTACTATACTGACCAACAAAATAAACCAGTCTGTCTGTTGTCATAGGAGGTGTGCTGTTCAGCTTGGAAGAAGGTGCAAGCTTTTGGAACCAGTCATTAACTTGGCGTATGTTTTTTGCTTCAATGATATCAACGTTCACTCTCAACCTTGTGCTATCAATCTATAAAGGAAATCCAGGAGATTTATCCAACCCTGGACTGATTAACTTTGGAACATTTGAGGTGTGTGTTAAATTTAAACTTAAATTCAAGACAAATATAAAAGCAAAGCAAAGCAAAGCAAAGCAAAGCAAAGCAACTAGAATCACACTTACCTTGAAGAGCAACTACAATTTTTTGCATCTTTCAATGTTTCATGTTGTTTATTCTTTTTTTTAACAATATTTACAGGGCAATCCTTATTATGGATATGAATTAATATTATTCATGATCATGGGTGTGATTGGTAAGCTGCATTTTTCTCATTTCACACTTTTCATTTCTCATTTTTTCATCTTTATTAAGTTTTATACGATTGTTTTATACGGTTGGAATTCCTCGAGGCCTATTACATCAAGAATTTACGCCCGGGAATTAACGATGGCTTGAAAGTCTCTAGAGAATTAAACTTGTTTTAAATAGGATTGCAAAATTGTAAAATAATTAACATGATTATGGTTCTGAATTAAACCGAAATATTGTTGAACAACGTCTCGTTTATAATCCAAATTTTGGATTTTACGATGTTATCCTTCCTCGGACTCGTTTTTGTCATTCTATATGTCAAACTGTCAGATCGTAATGGATTTTATACGATTGTGTTCTTTTCTTATTTCCAATTTTCACTTTTCCATTGTTTGCATATTATTCTTTCTTTCTTTCTTATTTCTCCATGTGTGTTTTTCTATTTTTTTTTACTTTTCATTTTTCATCTCATATTTCCTACATTTCTATTTTTAAAATTCATTTTCTTCAAGTGTATGTTTGTGATTTGATACAATTAATTATCTTTACTGTAGGTGGGCTGCTTGGTGCRCTATTTAATGCCATTAATCATTCTTTAAGTCTGTTTAGGATGAGGTAAGTGGAGTTATTACACAAAAACCTGTGATTTTACCTCTTACCTATTTAGTTATTTTGTGTCTTACCATACTTAATAAATATGAATGTAAATTGTTTGGGACACAGACGCCCACTTTAATCACTCACAGGCACTTATTCAAAAACATAGTGAAACCCTTGAAAACCCATCTATTGTCACTAATTCMACAGTTTTGTTTTGTATCAATTAGCTATTTCACGTTTACTGAAAATCGACTATTCTCACTGTGCAAATCGCAAAGCAGTGACCGTCTAGAAATATTTTGGGATCAAACATTACTTATTATTGATTATTATCAATAAAAATTAATATCAATAACAAATGCTTATGAGACAAAACTTGTGTTCACAAGGTATCCTATAATATGATTTACTAACCATGCTAACAATGTTTTCCAAATAGATTCATCAAGAAAAACTGGATGCGAGTCATTGAAGCATGTATAGTAGCTGTGATGACGGTATCCTCGGCATTTGTGCTAATCTATTTCCAGAAGGACTGTAGACCTTTAGGCACAGCAAACATTACCGACCCTTTAAAGGTAGAAATTTAAAGTGATTTACTGCTATATATTGCCTGCTAAAAAAATAGTGCAGTTTAGACAAGAGAAACAAAGTAATTCAGTACAATTTAGTTACTTTAAAGTTTCTCATGGTTTATTGGTTTGCAATTTATCTTGTCTTCTTTCCTACAATTGTTGCCAAAATTGTTGGAGTGTTTAATTGTTGGACATTAATTTTATTTGCATTTCACACGATGCAAAAGGAAATGACTGACCTCCTAAAACCTCTCAGTGTTACTAGTTGCTTGCGATTCATCACTCATTTAAAAACTTTGTCATCATACATCATTCCTCCAGAAACATTGATTTTAAGGGGGACCTGGTGATTATTTAAAAGGTATAAAAGGAGAGGGACCTTTATTTAAGGTGTCTCACATAGTCGTTCCAAGTAATTTGACAACGATTGTAGTTTGAAGTTTGTAGTTTGTCTCACAAATATAGTCTCCTGTCCATCTATTCTTATTCGTCCCTTCCATTACCTTTCTTCAGTTTCTTCTTTTCCCCTTCTCTTTCTTTTCCAATATTTCTGTTCTCATCCTCTCATCTTATTCCTTTTCATCTTCCTTTCCTTTTATCATACCTTTTTTGTTTTAAGTATTATCCATGCACTTTTCAGAATTTTTCTCTCTGCATTTCTAATTGTCTTCTTCATTCTTCTCTTATTATTTTCTCCTTCTAAACACTTCCACTTTCTATTTCTCTGTCTTAGAAGCCCTTCTTTTCTCTTCCCACTTTTCTCCATTCGTTCTTTTTCATTCCTTCCTTCTCATTTTTCCATCCTTGTTTTCTCTTCCCATTTTTTTCCTTCTTTATTTTCCTTTCTTATTTGTCTTTTCTTTTTTTCATCCCTTCCTTCTCAATTTCACATCTTTCCTTCTTCCTATTCTTACTTCCCCTTCTTTCCCGGCCTCTCACTGTCTCTTCCTCTCATTTGTTTTACCTTTTTTGTATTTTCATGYTATTTTACTTTTTTAGTTTTTCTGTAAAGACGGCGAATTTAGTGTCGTTGGTACATTAGTGTTTAGTACTCCTGAGGACTCCATAAAAAACTTATTTCATTTATCAGAAGGTAAAATAATTGTACTCTAATTAAAAATCTTTTTAAAAGTTTTCAAACGAATACCAGTTGCTCGATTGCACTACTATTKGGGTTAATTTGTAAGAAATGCTAAGGATGCCAGTATTACAGCACCAATCRAAACCTGCTTTTTGATTGCTACTTARGKGMARCASCWCTATTGTTAGGTTAGGTTTTGTTTTATTGTTGGAAGTCTTATCTATTGTTTKTCCATTGTTTTCTCRACCTATCATGAGATCGGTGCTGACTGAACCAAGGAAGCGCGCTAGGAAGGCGTTTTTCTTCCCCTATCCCTACCCCCTTATTATTCTATTGTGCGTTCCCAGTAACCAACATAGTTGACTGGAAATGATTCTAAGTATCTCTCTTTATTTTTCCAGAGTCTTACACCTTTTCCTCCCTGGCGTTATTCTTCCCAGTGTACTTTCTTCTGGCCACATGGACCTACGGGTTGTACGTCCCCAGTGGTTTGTTCGTACCTTGTATCCTRATTGGRGCGTCMTGGGGGCGTCTGTTTGGACAGGTTTTGCATAAATTTTTCCCGCATGGTCTCTGGGTCGATTCKGGACGRTATGCTTTGATTGGTGCGGCTGCGACTTTAGGTTWGTCTTCAATAAATCTTTTTASATGWGGAAGGCGACAGTTGGGAGAAACGCTCATACGATAAGGCATACGATAACTAGGTGCAACTTAAGATTTTTGTTGTCGATATTTTTTGTCTTGAGCAATTGCAAAAGTTAAGAATGACAGTRAAAGTGAAGGCTTTCCTTCTCACAGCATAATAATTATATTTTCAATACCCTACTTTTAAAAGTTCTTTTTTCTATAGAGTAAAAAGAAATCTATTTGCCTTTCATGTTTGTGACTTCTTTGATTTAATCGCCATTTTGTTTTCTATCCTTGACGCACTGCACGCGACTGGGTACGAGTCTGATCCTTGCTCCCACTGGCATACCCACCCTCCACTCCCCCTGGTTTTTATGACTCTTTATTACGTACGTAGGTGGTGTTGTACGCATGACCCTCAGCCTGACTGTCATTCTAATGGAGGCGACAGGAAATATAACGTACGGCATGCCAATGATGTTAGTGTTAATGACGGCAAAGTTTGTAGGTGACTTCTTCAATGAGGTAGGTCGTCATCCATGTGCATTGGAATTCTTCGTTTTCTCTATACGTCACAGCGGTCATCTTGGAGGAACATTGACAAAGAATTTCTCATTAGTATCTATTGTTCATTCCTCCAACATTGGCGCCGGTCTTTTTATCTTTTGAATCTCATGGGAATGGGTGAAAACGTAGCCTCCTTTGCAGATGTTATTAGTATTGGTCATAAATTCCCTCGAGGGAATTTATGACCGATACTTGTAACGTCTGCAAAGGAGGCTAGTGAAAACGATGTCTCCTTCACGGTTCCCTGCGCTATCTTGAAAGGTAGCCGTGCCTTTGCAGCGAGACGACCGTTAAGCGTGCAATTATAGAAACCTTCTTTTTCACCTACAGACAATTATTTACAGCTATCTATCATTGCACGCTCAACGGTCGTCTCGCTTCGATGTAAAGGTACGGTACCTTTCAAGATGGCGCAGGGAACAGTGAAGGAGACCATTTTCTTCAATAAATACCGTTCAGTATTAAAAACACACTGTATGCAGGTCATTCACTATGACGTCAATATAAATCAATGTGTTCTGTTGGTATAGGGTATATACGACATGCATATCAAGCTACAAGGTGTCCCGTTATTAGGTTGGGAACCGCCTACCATGGCAACGAACGTCGCTGCTAAGTATGTTGATATTTCTGATTAAATGTCATTAATTGATTGATTGAGTGGATTGGTGGATGGTTGTTTCAGCGGGTGACTGCTTGATTRAATAATACATTATAGCTCAATTCATATTATATTCTCAATTTCATGAAAAAARCTATGGTTTATTTCGCCGGTAAACCAGACTGCTGTCTTGAAAGATTTTTTAGTCTAAATGGCGGACATCGACTATAATATAAAAGCAATAAACGATAGCTTGGGATGGTTGGGGTTTGGAGAACACGAGAAAAGATCTGTAAATCACGAACCGTTACCTCAGTTTTATTGCTTAATTGCAAATCGATCGATTGATCTTGATCTTTCAGGGATATCATGAATACTCCAGTAATTTGTTTCCAAACGAGAGAAAAGGTAAATCAMGTGTTTATGCATGATTTTCGTATATTGCCCATGCTTACAAACACCTACCCTGTCTCAGGTTGGAAGAATCGTCGATGTCCTGAAGGACAGCTCATCGTACCATAACGGGTTCCCTGTGGTAGAATACTCAACGGTAGGCATTATCATTAGCGTCCTCCGCAGACACTGCGGCGATTCTCTCTGTTCTTGGGTTACCTGTGTATGAAATTTGGAGAATGGGACAAGATGGGGCGGGGTTTGTTTACGGAGGAGGCTCCGTGAATATAATCTACAATCTATGAAACACCCTCCACGATTGTGTTACTACAACCTCCCCTCTCTCTTTGCAATGTTGTTTTGCGCCTATTTGATGATGGAATCAGTTGAAAATCGTCCTGGATGTACGGTTAACGTGTATCCAACATTGCATTGGGGAAAGGGGACAAGGTGTTCTTTTCATTTTGCGTAAGATTGTAGTTCAAGTTTATGATGCTACGTCCATTCTGATTGGCCGAGTTACTAAGCGCATTCTGATTGGTCGAGAASTATCTTCTATTATCGGTCGTGAGTGGTGCAATACGTAACGTCGTCTTGTTCAAGATGGACGACAAAAAAAGAACTTTGTAGGTTTATGTAATAAACCAGACGGATGAAGTGAGGGGAAGCATTCGCTTACTTCTCGTACTATTCATACAACTTGTCAAAGTGCTCCATTGCATTACGCGTACGTCTAAGTCAATCTTCTATTTATAAATATAAAATCATAATTATCATTCGATTCCTAATTGTCATTTTCCATCTAATCACAAGGATTACAAGACTACCACCGTTTATCGATTATTTAACGTCCTCTTATCGATTATTATAGTTTCAGCTGTAAATATATTGGTTTCTGGCTTTTCAGTAGAATAATTTAAGGGATAGTTGACCGTCTACATGTAGTGTTTTCTTACCTCACTCATTATCTGTTCATCTCTAATACTTGGTTGTTTTGTTTTTTAGAGTAGTGCTAGTAATAATGGACCGTCTACGTTTGGTGTGTTCAAAGGGATAATTCTGCGAACTCAACTGATCATCTTACTCAAGCATAAGGTAATAATCCTTATTAATAGACTTTTRGCTGGTAGATGACATGCAAGTGCTATCACCTCATAATGCTAAATAATAACCCATTAAAAAACAGATAAAAGTCATATCTTTTTACTCTAACAAAAGGTTATCCTTGAGACCAAGATTAAGGCGTAGTTTTAGGCATCAATATTTTCTAAGCCACAATATTATAAATACGGTAGTCGGCAATGTTTAGTAGGCCTATAGGTCAGACTACAAAATTTCAAAAGCTATCAATACCTATTTGAAATCCTGTGTCGTAACTCCCCTTTTCAAACTCATTGCAGTTAAAGGGGCTTGGTCTACTGGCGTCCCTTTCGAGCTTTTGTTTATTTTCTGAAACTAAAAATACGGCATAACCATAATAAAACTCAATCTTTGTTATCCATTTATGCAGGATATATGGACATATTTTGTGAGATTCGATCTTAAAAACGAAGGATGGAAACGTATTGCGAATGGAYATTTCAAGTCACCTCGATTTCCATATATGAAAAATCCAAAASACGACGGCATTGAATGCTGGTTAGGCATGGCCCTTTAAATATTAGGATGTTTTTGATATGTATGATTTGGGGCGGAGCCACCACTCTCACACCGCTCTTTATGAATGGCTGTTTTCGCGTGATTGACTGTTACGAACAATCCAATTATACCTGACAGAGACTTTTTTCTCCGGTGTTTGGTTTTCAGTGAGAAATACAATGATTTTTGGCACTGATAGCTCGTAGTAACTTTGTGTTTGTGTAGGATATTACTTACAAGTTTTCACGTTCAATTTCTTCACATTTAGGTTTTCACAGAGGAAAACACACCAGTCGTGAGACACGGTTTRAAGCTGAAACACTTCCGGGATGCTTACCCTCGATTTCCTTCGATTAAAGTAAGTCAAATTCAAGATTAAAATCATGGGAATCATATCGATTTTTATGTCTGAACCTGACTCAAGTAAAAAGATATATATGGATATATATGTCGTGTTTCGAAAACAGCTGATTTCAAGTGTGTCTCTTCTTTATTTTAATGTCGTTGATTTTGTTACAGAGAATAAGCATTTCACCTCATGAGAGAGAATGTTTCCTTGATTTGGCGCCATTCATGAACCCAGCTCCCTACACGGTCCATGAGGTACGTAAGGGAGAACTAAGACTATGAACTAGTTGATTGCTTTCATTTTCAATCAGTTGATCCTTGAAATATATTGTGTACAATTCTATAAGACTGCATTTGTTTTTGAAACTGAGTTCACTGCGACTTCAGGGCCGGGTTGTTCAAAGCCCGATTAGCGCTAATCCTTGGTTAACTCTTAGAAAACATATGGAGTTAACCCTGTATTAACGCTAATCGGGCTTTGAACAACCCGGCCCTGAATGTCTTATAAGGGACTTCGCAATATTTATCAGGAGGGGGATTGATAATCCAGGGTGGGAACTCTAATCTTATGTGCTTGAAGAGGGGGGGGGGGGGGGGGGCAACGTCTAAAATTAACTAGAACTTTAATTGGAAACTGAAAAATCAACGGTGTCGGATTCTGTGCTTTTTGGCCAAATACTTAATGAAGTGGAAAACCTCTCAAGACAACGATTTGCGTGAACTCCTTATTCACGAATGATTAATAAATAAATTCACGGGGGGGGGGGGGGAGGACAGAGCGTAATTTATTTCGTTTTAATAGGCGTTTTAGAGGAACATTATCTTCGAGCATAGCCTGTCCGTTAAAATACACAGCATTTGTTTTCGTGTATTTTTTGTAAAGATACAATTACAGTAGTTTTGCCTTTCTGTAAAGGAAACACAAAATCGTTTTTAGGGATTCAGTGTTTTAGAATCGAATAAGGACGAATAAGACGGGACAGCGTTTGCTTTGAACCATCAAATTCAATCTACCCAAGTCGTCTTTACGACATGGCTACTACAAAATTGGTGGATAGCTCTACGAAAGCTGTGGCCATGTTGCAAGGATGACTTAGGCATGTTGCATGCTATGATTTTAGGGGAATGTTATGCCATGTAATTCGGCTTTAACAAGCTCAAGCGATGACTAACTCTCCCATCATGCTTTGTTGTGCAAAATGGCGTCGCTGCACATTGCCTGTTATGAACATCTGCCAATACTTCAATGTATCTTTACAGAATTCTTCGTTGTCTCGAGTTTTCCAGTTATTTAGAGCTTTGGGGCTGCGACATATTGTTGTAGTCGACCAACACAATGAGGTAAGAATCTGTGTTGTAAGGTTTTCATTTTCTTATCCTGCTTCTTGTACTGCTTCCTTCACTGCTTCCTTCTCTGTTCKCTTATTTTTACACGTACATAAGTAGCTTAGTCTCCTTGTTCAGCTGTGCTACCTCACTAGTGATAATGGGCCTTAAAACTTTAASTGAGTCTTTTTGATCGTTTTCAACCATTCCCATTGTCAAAAGTGAAAGACCAGCGGCCATGTTGGAGGAATGAACAATAGACACTGGAAAAAATCGCGCGCTTTAAAGGTTGTAAATTTGATGTAAATGATTTCCATTAAATTTACAGAATTTTGGACACTTACATCATATTTACATCAAATTTACAACCTTCAAAGCGCGCGATTTTTTCCAGTGAGATACTAATGATAAATCCTTTGTTGAAGTTCCTCCAAGATGGCCACTGTGACTTAACTTGAAAACGAAGAATAAAATAAAAGCMAGCTTATCGAGAAACCGATGTTAAAATATTTCGATTTTTACTGGTCCTCGTGAGGACAGTGTATCGTTAGCTTATGAGATGATAGAATCTCACAAAAGTAGTAGTAGATAATGTGAGAATCTGGCCAATGCAGGATGAGCGATTCGCGAGATTGCGCATTCCTCGTGGCATTGATTTTGTGGATGACGTCAATTTTGTTGCTAGGTTACTGGCATCGTTACCAGGAAAGATCTGGCGCGCTACCGGATGTGGACGCACCGAGGACAGACTGGGCTGGAGGTTGTTCACGTCTTGGAATCGTCTGACTTGCACTCGTAGTAAGGTGACATGGTGACGTATATTGATCGACACGTGACCAATCAACCAAAACCATGACGTAATGATATGATGATGACGTCATTTTGACTTAGGTTTGAGAAAACACCTTAAAAAAGGGATAACAAATGCGCAAATTATGAGAACTATATTACTGATTTGGACAGACCGAGGACAGACTGGGCTCGACATGGTGACTTATATTGATCGACGCGTGACCAATCAACCACAACCATGACGTAATGACTTGATAGTGACGTCATTTTGGCTTTCTTGCTTGAAATAATTTCCAATGCTCAAAGTTTCGGGGAAATTGTGTCTTCAAAAAGGACAAATTCCTATGAAATTGCTTGCCTACTCCACTGTTTACCCATATGGCCAACCGTGGACAGATATTGGCTCGATATTGTACAAGTTGCACACGATCAAGCATTTTGATAATTAACAATCGATAAATGAATTTACATTGACGTCATTTGGGTTTTCATGCYTCAGTTACTATTCCAATCTTCAAAGATTTCAGCGGAAAAAATGGATAAACAAAAAAATAATGTGCTACGATAAATTATCGATTCCGCATACAGAAGAAAATTTATCTCCGGATTTTTGGATGCGCGAACAAAGAGTCGTGAATTTTGCTTGTCGTTTTTCGCTTATTTTTGGTAAAGCTTTTCCGTGATAATCTGGACCCAGGGGAATCGTCAACAGGATGCATACCGACCATACAGAACGTATAGTGAAAAAGATATTCTTTATTTTGAACTTTCCCAATCACGCTAGGGCCAGTTGCATTTAAAATAAAAAAAAATGCTTGTATTTAATACTGATTTATTTGAATAAATCAGTCTTTATTGGGTATTAAAACAGTGGAAATACACGCCTTACAAACTCTAAAAAATAAATCAAACATAACAAAGTATGCATTCTTTGCATGGGTATTATTTTCCCTTTCAAACAAACGAATTGCGGATCAACTGTTTAACGGTCTTTCCCAATAATTACGTCATACTTGTTTCGGCGAAATGCATCATGGTATCGATAAAAGTCTCAAGATGGAGGATACTTGTGAAAACTTTGCGCTGTGGAAAATGCTTTGGAATAACAGTGAATACGATTTGTGCACAATGAAAATACTATAAGGCCTGTCTGACAAAAAGTAATGCTTCATGTACGCAAAACATCTTGAGAAAAAAGCACACAACAACATGGCTTCAATTAACGTTGTAAATCCCATGATGCATTTCGCTGAAATCATTTTGGAAAGCACAATCCTCGTTCTGTTTTGCATTTTTTTACATGTCTACATGTACAGAAATATGAAATCAAAGTATTTTCTACTTGCCCTGAGTTGGTTACTCGGGATTCACTGTGCTGTTTATTGTTTTCGCAAAAAGCAGCGAAAATTTGGGCTGTTTTGGTATGAGATTTTTTCGATTTCAGTGAAACAAATTTATCACGTGACCAGCGCGATTTCTAATAATTATGTGTTATTAATTATTATCTCACTTTAAAATGTTTCTGCAGATACTAAATAGTTTATCTACGTTGAATTATTTAGCTGTAACTCTTAACATGTGTTCTTTATTCAGCTCGCAAATGGATCTAAAATGAACTGTTCAATAGTGCGCAGATCAGCGCAGTATCTCAGGCAGTCGATAACACGAATTGCAAGTAACTAGTACCAAATTTGGAATTAAGTAACCAAATAAGGGAAACAATCAGCCTTCATTTTGTTTCCGGGAAGACGATGAAGCTTGCCGATTCCATTGTGTTTGAACTCACCATTGCTGTCAACAATACCAAATTTGGAAATAAGTTACCAAATTAGGAGTTCCACGTCTTATGCTTCATCTAAACCAGTCAATGTTATTTCCATTCAGGTTATTTCCATTCAGTGACTTTACGAGTTCACGGAGTTCCAGGTCTAAAGTTTTTCGATTCTTCTAGGCGAGTGTAAATTTTTTGAAACATTTTCTTATATTCTCGTATTTTAGGTCCTTCTGGTTTATAATCAATTTCGCTTTCCGAGAAATACCGATGTCTTCTTTCGGTTTTGTTCGGACTTGGTAATGGACTCACTTGAACCGCTCGTTGAACTTTCGGAATAGGTAACGAGTGCTTTCCGAGTCCTTCTTGTTTGCATTTATCTAACAGTGCGTCGTATTTTCGTACAAGTTCGTGATACTGGTCGCCAAGTTCGGAAAAAAACGATGCACTGTTTTCACCTGTTTTTTCTTCACTCGGGCTTAGCACGACCACACCGCTATGATCCGACAAGGCGCTCGATTGCCTCGATAATTGCTCGGAAACAACAACGAATGAATCGTCCTCCACTACATCATCTGCGCTGTCATTGAGGGGATTTTCCGAGAGAATATCGATTGCGCGTTCGGTTCCCGAAGCCACTTGTTGCCATTCTTCGGCTCTTTCAGCAAACACACGTAATTGAGTTTCTAGCTGTTGGTTTTCTTGAATCAATTCAGAGAGTTCGTACTCAAGTTCTTCGCGTTTGCTTCTTTCTTGAACATGTTGTTCTCTAAGATTGGAAATTTTTATATTTAGCGCTTCGAGTTGTCTTTCTTTTTCTGCCCTTTCTTCGTCGTATTGTCTCCGTCTCTCTATTTGTTCATCTGCCGGCTCTGGCTCACTGTCGAGWGGGTTTACTTGCTCGTGAAATGACAACGCCATTGATAAATCTCGTTGTAGGCGACTTCTTTCCTTTTGTAACTCCTCGACCTCTTTCCTATACTCTTCGCATCGTAAGTCCATGTTATCGACCATTTCTGTCAAGTCTCTGTATCTCTTCTTCATTGTATTCGTTTCGTTTTGTAGTTTCTGGTTTGCTTTGTGTAGTTCCAAAGCGGTGGTTTCCATTTGTTCAAAAGCTTTGTTTCTTTGATCGTTCACTTCACGAAGCGTCTCCAGTTGTTTCTCGAGAAACTACAACAACGATTACACGTAAAATTGATGTTTATAAACATATATTATTTATGTAATATTATATATATATACACTGACGAATTAACCAGAAATAATATTGTAATTGAATGGACAATACTAAATAGTTTCATACCTCATTTTTCAATGCTTGTTCTTCTAGATAATGATGTGACGATTTCAATAAACATTCCAGTTCTTTGTTTCTCTCTAGAAGGTTTTTTCCGATCTCGGCCGCCAGCTCAAGATCTGAAAAACAATTGGTCACGCGGAATTAAACACTCGCTTTACTGAACCGCGCTAACATTACACTTCATTTCAAAATGAATTTATGATATGATATGATATGATATGGATAATTTTCGAAAACATTTTTAGTTTAATTTCGTCTGTAAGCGAAGATAAACGCCGGCACCTTTACCAACATCTGCCCAGCGGTCCTCACAATGACTACATTTGTATGAAGTGTGACTTTCCATAGCCGTCTGAGGGCAAACATTTCAAGGACAACTTTTCTTAGAAATGGAATAATCTAGCGTATCATTTTTTGCGTGTCTTTATGACAGAAAGAGCTTTGTAGCCCACGCTAGTAGAGCGTTGAAACGACTGTCAGAGATTAACCAATGAGAGAGCACGTCTCGAGAACATCTGCGCGACGGCCGATATTTAGCAAAACCCGACAACAAATGAGTTRTTACCATGTTATGTAACGGGTACAATAGTTGATTTATTTAATGAATAGGTAATTTTGATGTAAAAATCGATTAACAATATAAATAGCGAAGACATGTATAGTAATTTAGTAGTTAAGACCCGTCTTACATGGTCAATTTTGAGGCAATTTTCTCGCGTTGATGAGCAAAATTGGTCTGTTTTTTTAACGACTCTTTAGTTTGTTAGAAATGTGGCAAATCAATAAAAATTAACCAATTTTCCTCAGTGTAGAATGGCAAAATAGAAATTGTCACAAAACAAATTGCTACAGAATGATTACTGATGCATCAAGACGTATGTAAGAGTTTTGATGTTCTGTTTCAATTTTGATTATTTTATTCAATCGTATGTAGATTTTTAATTTTTGGGGGGGAAATCCCGCTGATTTAACGGTCGCTATCAGGTTAATTTATTTATCTCTGCATACATATCATTCATTTGGAGCACAAGGAAGCGAAAACATCAGAAATCACTCCCAATTACGCGGAAGGGATTTTAAAAAACTGGGAAAAGGAACTGGGAACATTCAAAGAGATGTACTGCACGAATCACCACATCTTAACTTTGTAAGTATTTCCAAAGTTATTTTAACTTCTTATTATTGAGATTTTTAGCACAGCTTTAGATTGCAATTATCACCGAAAACCGACTCAATTTATATATTTTTTTCCTTTTTTCCAGCTTATATTTGTTTTTGTGCGTTTTATATTATTTAATAAAGTTAGCTGYTGTTTTACGCTAATTTTATTTTTGCTTTGTAGTTATTCATTACTTTCATAGTTAATTAACTTCGATGTAACATATTTCAACACTTCATAACAACGAATATTCCACAAACATTTTACTCTAATATGAAAAATATGCTATTTGTGCTGAATTATTATTATTACGCCAAAACTGAGTTATTTTATTGTACAAATGGTATGTTTTAAAAGAGAATCGTCCAAATAACAGTTGTCACCCTACTGGACTTGAGTAAGATCTGATTTTAGGGCGAATTTACGAACTGAAAAAATGAAAAATCCTAATAAAAAACAAACAATAGTTTCTTGTAAACTAGCTTTATATATCACTTTTTTATGTGATTTTATGTCGATTTATTCATGCTGGTAGTATTTTGTTGGTCATTGTTTTACGACATGTGTTGAAAAAAACCGGAAGCCAAAGAAGGGATGTTACCGGAAGTCAAGTCAGTCAAAACAAACCGTCATTTCTCGACGTCAATGGTCTTCAAAATACAATAATTTTGTACACAATACTATATAGAAAACTATTAAAACCACCAAATACGAATAAGATAAAATGGGGCTTATTTATTTGAAGTAAAATATGGCATAACGATTAACGGCAAAAATACTGAAAGGAAAATTTCATTTGACACCGTACGACTCGTGGTATTATTTAAAGTCAACGTATGAATAAATTTTACATTATTTTAAAGGGAGAAAAAGTAAAAGTAATTATTCTATAAGATACTTTGATCCTTTTAGCCGTTTAAGTCTAGTCACCAAGAAACAGTCGCTCGGCTTCGACGCTACACAGACCTTGTCACAGTATCACAGTTACAAATGAACTGTTTACACGAAAACAATAATTTCAACAAAGCGTTTTTCAGATTTACCGCAATTTATGTCTTCCAAAACCACTCTAATTCCAACCATAAACTTACAATGTTAAGACAGATAGCACAAAACATTATATTTACCACCAGTCGAACCGGTTTTGTTGGGGATTTCTCAATATATATAACGTGCTCTTACCGTCGGAAAGGTGTGTTCGGTCTTTCTGCTCTGACATTCTCGATACAAACTCCAAATTCAGGCTAAAATCACTCATCTTTCATCTTGAATCTTTGCTAAACCACGTGGGATGATTTGAATTTAAAAAATATACAAAACAATGGCCAAAAAAAATAATAATCAGGCGAACTCTCGCCAAGGTCTCTGTCATCAATGTTATGCAAATAGGCTTCCTATGGGAACGAGGCAAGTTTTGCCACGTCAGTGAATATAAGGCGATGCTCTGACCAGCGAAATAACGTAACTTATTAACTTTGAGTATTATTTTATTCAACGGTAAGACATGCTGTGTTTAGTTTGAAAATACGTTTTTTTAATGAATTGAGAAACATTCTATTCAACTGATTCAAAATTTCCAGTAAAAAAAATCCCAAAACATAGTATTGAATGAATTTAAACTTCTCAAATATATTTAAAAGGTTTTTAGAGAAACTCTTCTTTCCATTCTTACTTCACGAAAGTAATTTTTTTAAAGCGTTTTTAGCAGTTGTAGTTTAAATGTTTACTAAAGCTAATCATATTTAGATAGCTATATGAGAAAAAAATCTTATTAGGGCTATAAATTATTTCTAAAATAAATCTGTGAGTGCGAATCACTGAGAAACTCGCTTTTACTTGTACAAGATTTTTCATCGCAACCAGGAGCCCATTAGCTCCTGTCGCAACACTGTTTTGTTGTGCGCATCAATAAAATTGTGCGAATTACACGGAAGCCCAATTCCAGAAACGAGTGAAGCCAGAGACGAAAGCGTGAGCGTGAACAAATGCACGTTTTTCCATTGGAAAAACAAATTTATATTTTTAAAAAAGCTAAATAAGTTTTGTTTTAAAAGGTATAAAATGCATTCATCTAACAGTCAAGTGATATAATGTTCAAGAAGAATATGTATTTTGCCGTAGGACATTTTTAATACTCCAGTTTCGAATTCACAGCGAAAAACCGCTGCTCTATTTGACAACAGATTCTCTTGCGCAAAGGGATGACTAGGCTCAGTCTCCAGCCGTCGGGATTTCGTGCGCCCGCGACACTCTCTCCCCTGACGGCTGGGCGCATGAGGTTCGCTATTGTCAGTCTTGACCAATCAGCGAGTGGCCCCCGATATTTTGAGGGGCANTTGTGCTGAATTATTATTATTACGCCAAAACTGAGTTATTTTATTGTACATATTGTATGTTTTAAAAGAGAATCGTCCAAATAACAGTTGTCACCCTAGGACTTGAGTAAGATCTGATTTTAGGGCGAATTTACGAACTGAAAAAAATGAAAAATCCTAATAAAAAACAAACAATAGTTTCTTGTAAACTAGCTTTATATATCACTTTTTTATGTGATTTTATTTCGATTCATTCATGCTGGTAGTGTTTTGTTGGTCATTGTTTTACGACATGTGTTGAAAAAAACCGGAAGTAAAGAAGGGCTGTTACCGGAAGTCAAGTCAGTCAAAACAAACCGTCATTTCTCGACGTCAGTGGTCTTCAAAATACAATAATTTTGTACACAATACTATCTCGAAAACTATTAAAACCACCAAATAAGAATAAGATAAAATGGGGCTTATTCATTTGAAGTAAAATATGGCATAACGATTAACGGCAAAAATTAACTGAAAGGAAAATTTCATTTGACACCGTACGACTCGTGATATTATTTAAAGTCAACGTTTGAATAAATTTTACATTATTTTAAAGGCAGAAATCATAATTATTCTATAAGATACTTTGATCCTTTTAGCCGTTTGAGTCTAGTCATAAAGAAACAGTCGCTCGGCTTCGACGCTACACAGACCTTGTCACAGTATCACAGTTACAAATGAACTGTTTACACGAACACAATAATTTCAACAAAGCGTTTTTCAGATTTACCGCAACTAATGTCTTCCAAAACCTCTCTAATTCCAACCATAAACTTACAATGTTAAGACAGATAGCACAAAACATTATATTTACCACCAGTCGAACCGCTTTTGTTGGGGATTTCTCAATGTATATAACGTGCTCTTACCGTCAGAAAGGTGTGTTCGCTCTTTCTGCTCCGACATTCTCGATACAAACTCCAAATTCAGGCTAAAATCACTCATCTTTCATCTTGAATCTTTGCTAAACCACGTGGGATGATTTGAATTTAAAAAATATACAAAACAATGGCCAAAAAAAATAATAATCAGGCGAACTCTCGCCAAGGTCTCTGTCATCAATGTTATGCAAATAGGCTTCCTATGGGAACGAGGCAAGTTTTGCCACGTCAGTGAATATAATAAGGCGATGCTCTGACCAGCGAAATAACGTAACTTATTAACTTTGAGTATTATTTTATTCAGCGGTATGACATGCTGTGTTCAGTTCAAAATTTCCAGTAAAAAAAATCCCAAAACGTAGTATTGAATGAATTTAAACTTCTCAAATATATTTAAAACGTTTTTAGAGAAACTCTTCTTTCCATTTTTACTTCACGAAAGTAATTTTCGAGTTTTTAGCAGTTGTAGTTTTAATTTTTACTGAAGATAAGTATATTTAGATAGCAATATGAGAAAAATCTTATTAGGGCTGTAAATTATTTCTAAGATAAATCTGTGAGTGCGAATCACAGGGAAACTCGCTTCCCACCAAAATAACCAACTTTTACTTGTACAAGATTTTTTTCATCGCAACACCTATCCGTTATTGTGCGCATCGATAAAACTGTGCGTAAAACACAGGAAGCCCAATTCCAAAAGCGAGTGGAGCCAAAAGCGCCTTTCTTCAAGCGTGAACAAATATCGATGATATATGTGAATTTATGATTTTTTTTAATTTTTTTTTAACAGATATCTTTGCACAATTCTTCCGAAAATATCTACCATGATTGCCATTGAAATCATGACAGTTGAGATTAAACGTAAGACGCTAAAATATTTTCATACTAGACGCTCTAAGAGCGTAAGGTCGGGCTAGGTCTTTAGGAAAATTGAGAAAGACAGGATAATACTCCTTGCTCGATATATTGCTTTTGTTTAGACGTCGTTGCGCCAAGCCGTCAAAAACAAATTACCGCGGTGCGTGGATAAACTATTAGAATTTCAGTGAACTGCACATTAATTTTAGGTTTTTAACATTAGGGGGTTTTTTCGTTGTAACCATTGTATAAACAGGCAGCCCAGCAACAATGATGGCTCCAGAGGACGTCAGTAGTGTGATTGATGGTTCAGACAGTTTTTTACTCAAATTCTTTTATTCTCTAACATCAAAATTTACTTAAAAATTACATTGAGTCTCATAATTACTCTGAATTGTAATTTTCTATACGGAGTATAATGAACAAGGTTTTTGAGTGAAAAATCCTAAGAAAGTAAAATTTCAATTTCCCATGATGAATATAATTCTCAAACTTTCAATGGGATTATAGCTTATGTTTTACCTGGGATTTTGGTCCTTCTAAAATATGATAGAAACAAACGTTCTGCTTCTACGGAGGATAACTCATGTTCTCTGTGACTACAATTGTACATATTTGGTGTGTAACAGTTAGTATGTGTTTCATGGGTACATCGCTATGAAGGCAGTCAACAGATCTCATTTCCACACCTGCACTCGTTTGCTACGGTTCTCAAGCACAAATACTCGACCATCTGGTGTAACAGCAACGTCATAAGGATTTTTCATTTGTCCAAGACCTGAACCATAGCTACCAAAGGACCTTATGAACTGACCGTCTTGACTGAAGACTTGCATGCGGTGGTTATTTAGATCACAGACAAGAAGCATTTCTTTACCAAACACAGCAAGTCCACGTACATCGTTAAACTGACCTTCTTTGTTGCCTTTCATTCCAAATGTGTATAACAGACTACCGTTCTCGTCAAAAATACAAACAGTGTTGGGAGTCGAAAACGACACAAAGTACTTATTGTTATCATAAACTAATGAGAAAGGACGCATGTGACGATCATTAGGATCATGCAGTTTGATGTCATGAAGGTGATCATAACTGTCTTTATCAAAGACCTTTATAAATGTCTCTCTAGTATTCTGGTCGTAACACAAACACGCGATGGTTTGATTGGCTGTACACATTCTTTTCAATAACATTCCTCTAGCGAGTGTGCAAAGAGTTCTTTTGTAGGTACCATCGATGTCAAATAACTTGATACAGCCACAATCACCTGGATTATCGGTGATAACTACTTTGTCCTTATTGAAGATGACTCCATATGGATCACTCAGCTGACCTCCTGATCCTACACCACCAATGTCTCGCAAATACTCTCCATCAGCATTGAACAACACAACACGGAAATCATTGTTGAAATCGTGATTATTAACCACAGCAATGTCGCCACTGTCACTTACATCAAGTGTAATAGGATTAGACATCCTCTGTTTGACATCAATAATCTTCAAGGGTTGAAATTCTGGGCATACTGTTAAACCTGGACTCGGACTCGGACTCGGACTCCCCGGACTCGGAATACTAGGAATCGGAATACTCGGACTCGGAATAGCGGAAATAAACATTTTACTGTTTTTAGCGGTAATACATCTAACACAAAAGTGATAAACAGTCTGTTTATTATTTAAAAACTCACTAATAATGCATTACTGTAATGGTCAACAAACAGCTGGAGAATCCAACTACATGTATACATCTCATGATAGTGTTATAACAATGGTTAACGGTTTGATTGGATAGAAAATTGAAAACCGGCTACTATTTGGCTATTAGTTGAAGTTATTGTTTGCATTATTTGAGCTGCCGAGATACCGTTGATTGGCGTTGAGGAGATGTGTTTTTAGAGATTGTTGACCCAATCAATCAATCAATTTTATTTCATTCATAATCATTATTACATTCTGATATACTTTGCAATTTATAGAATAATAATTTGTAATGACTAAGAATAGGAGCCTATGAAAAGCAACAAGTGCTTATGAAATATAGACCCCTTTACATATTTTCATTTAAAAAAAACATTATTTCGAGTTACAAAAGCATAAAAAAATAATAATTAACTTTGACAAATCAATTTTTAAATCATTAAAACTTATTATTAATGTATACTTAAAAATGCCTATCTATCTATCTATCTATCTATCTATCTATCTTAAATCTTCAATGAATGAAATAACCATATTGAAGTGTTCAAAAAGGAGCCCTGACCTATAGACATACCGTGTTGGACTTGAGACCAAGAAAATTTCGGGAAGTCCTTACCCAATATGTATTCGTATTCCTTCTCGGCATCATTTCCATTAGTGTTCCTTACTCGAAGAGAAGGCAGTTTAAACGCAGACATTTTTTTACTCCTAGAAGTACCGTGCAGGAAACGCTTTTACAATGTAAAATCACGCAGTCAGTAATTGTCTGATAACTTATCGAAACCAAACATTTGCTATTGTTATCATTATCTGAACATCTCACTTCAACTCACATAAGTTTATTTTATCTGTTATCGCTAATGTAAACTTGCACGGCAAGCTTTTATGGTGTCAAGTTTAAACTTAAGACGATCATTGATCGCACACATGAGCTTCCAGGGACAAAAAAAGGGCGCTTTTACAAATAAAATCGATTATACCTCCCTCTTTTATTGGAAAACTCAAGAGTGCTTAGTTGGGCTATACTATATCAAAGGGTTATATATAATTCCTATTGTTGACCTGTACAAACTGGGGGCATTGTAATATTAAAATAAAGCAATAAAGACTTAGATATTTTAAGAAATTGTCCCTTTTGCTTTGCTAAAACAGTTACTATTTGGCTGTTAGTTGAGGTTATTACTTGCATTTTCAAGTGAGGACTCTTGCGACACACAGAACTTCTGTATATTTACTAGGCATATATCTCAAAGATCATGTAAATCCGTCACGAAACACACGTAAACAATGCCAAGGCCTCACACGATCCTGTTGTTAGCCCGTATTCTACGTTTAAAAGGCTTATATCTCGAAATTCATATGGGGTCTTCGCTTTCCGGATCCCGGATCAAAACCGTCGTAAAACCATCGAAAATGCTTAACCGATCACGGTATAAGAAGTCCTTGGCATTTGAGGCACTTATGTAGAAAATATCCGTGGGTCTTCGTTTTTCATGGTCTTAGGTCTTCGTCTTCTGGGTCTTCGTTCTCCGGAGATCCATTCCGATTTCGTAGTAGTCCGAGTCCGAGTCCGAGTCCGAGTCCGAGTCCGAGTCCGGCTTATGCCGAAATTCTGCTTTAGTCTCCATGGTCTAAATATTTGTGAGTTTTTGATCTCTTTTCCTCCGATTCTCACCACAACTTTGTACGGTGAAGGTTTCTCAGCTTTATACTTAACTTGAAATCTTCCAGTATCAGTTTCGGTCATTTCTTTCTGAATATTGTTTCCAAAAAAATCTTGGATTTGTACATCAACTATATCTTTATTGGTATGGCATATATCCC